TATGCTCATAGTCATGCGGATAAAGAATTTTGCACAAAATTGGAAAAGAGATAAAGTTATTGATTACATCGAATTGATGGTGTAAATCTGGAGAATATATTCACAATATATTCACAACAGAAGTCTAACCAAATTGCAGAAAGAATGGCTTCCATATACATTATGCAGCAAGGCAAATACAGAGTATGGATTTTAAAAGAGAAAAGAACCCATTAAAGAACTGAAATCAGAAATATACACAAAAAATAAAAATGTGTAAGTATTGTACATTAGTCAGAACATCAGAAGTTGTATGCTGCCTAATGATCTTAAGAAACCAGTAATATGCAAAAATGGAGTTGTTTTATGCAAACTCAGCCATACTCTGTTGCATTGCTGGTAGCTCATACAGAAGCAGAAATGTAGAGTCTGTCCTCTGTTTCATCATTGTATTGCAAATATATATTAAACATAATGGAGGATTTCAACTATTCTGACATCAAATGAAAATCAAACTTTATAGGGCCTGGGAAGGGAAGTATGCTTTTAGCATATCTTGCAGAAAATTTCATTGTCCAAAAGTTGACCAATGTATTAAGACTTGGTGGACCAGCAAAGGGGGGGAGAGGATGGTTCTGTGTGAACTGAACGCCAGTCATGCCTGTAGCTTGCACAAGTGGAGCTGCACAAACACGCACAATGCTACTTGAGCCTCCTGGTTCTGAATGGGCCATGGCCTGGAAGTTGGGCACTGCTGTATTAAGGGATCAATTATACTGAATTTAATGGACTAAGGGGAAGAAATAGTTGATGGAATGGAACTTGCAGTGAACTTGGGAGAGAATGATAATTGGATCCACACAGTACTGGCCAGAAGAAGTTAAGGCAATCAGATTTGTGTTCTAGATTTCAAGGGAACTGACTTTAATAAGCTAGGACAAAACTACAAAATATTCCATGGATTAAAATCTTGCAACAGAAAAAAAAACTGAGGAGCATTGGGAAATTCTGAAAAAAATGATATAATTAAGGCCCAAACATACACAGTACCAAAGAGAAGAAAAATGGAAGCTGTCTCATGAAACCAGTGAGAGTGCATTAAAAAAATATTTCCAATAGACTGAAAAACAAAAGGGACAATTTTTAAAAACTGAAAGAACAGCATATGGTATGACAAGAGCATTTTAGAATAGGCCAAACCTATAAGGATAAGGTGAGGAAAGCTTTGGTTCAGAATAATCTGAGTCTTGCAATGAATATCCCAAAACTCTAAAATGTGGAACAGGGGAAGAATCAAGAAAACTGTTGGTCAATTAGTTAAAGAAAGATAGTGAGATTGATAAGTCTGAATGGCTTAATTCCTATTTTGCCTCTGGAGTAAGCAAGGAAGTAGGTGAGAGTATTTTTTAAATGAATTCAAGTAACCAGGGCCAATTCAAGTAACCATCCCTGTGTGCTAAAGGAACTGAGAGATAATCTCAGAATCACTGACCATATAATTTTCGAAAACTCCTTGAGTGCCAGAGATTTGTCAGAAAACTGGAGAAAAGCTAACACTTTAACTATCTTTTAAAAATGGGAAAATGGATCTAAGAAACTAAAGGACAATTAGTTTTTCATCAATACCTAGAAAAATCCTAGAAAATATCACCAGGCATTTGGATTTTCATTCATTCATTCATTCATTCATTCATTCATTCATTCATTCTTCCATTCCATTTGTTGGCCAGAACATGGTAATTACTGGAACTCAGTAAGAATTTGTTAAAAATATGTTGTGGCAGGCAAATTGTTTTCTATTGCATTTTTACAAAATGACTAGATTACCAGACCAAGAAAATATTATTGTTATACTTAGATTTCAGTAAGGCATTTGATAAAGTTGACTATAGCCATATTCCAAATTGAATGATGTGAGATAAATGATCCTATTAGATGATTTCCACCTGCTGAACAATCAAATCTTATAAAGGTACTTTGTCAACATCCAATGATACTTTCAAGTGAAGTATTTGAGGGGTATAGAATACATATACAAGCCAAAGTGAACAAGGATTTAATAAGAAAATACCTCTCCACATGGATGAATACAAATCACCTGGGCCAGATAGCTTATACCCCAGGGTTTTGAGGGAGCTGGCAGGTGTAATATTTGAGACACTGAATGTAACATTAAAAAGCTACATAACACAGGGGAAATGCCAGACAATTGGAAAAATACATTGCGACGATATGATACAAAAGTGTTTTTTTTTTTGTGAAGTTTAAATTCTCTGCCCTGGAATTTTTATCTATGGAATCCTACAATAGTTGCTGAAACTGGATCTTCTAAAATGCATGTACAACTATGCTACAATTTAAATTTCTATTGCATCTTGAAACTCAGGATTATGTGATTGCTTCTGCCAAAGGTTCCAACTACTTCTATATCTTCAACCAGCTTTTTCCTGTTGATTAGAATGACATACCCTAGAAACTCACCTTGTATCTTAAAAAAACTTTTAGAAAAAGAATCAGTCAGGAAGAGCTAAGAAACTTTGGGGATGACCTGCCAAACTGATTTCACAACAGATATCTATATTATTGAAGTATCCATTATATTATATCTTCCTTAATAGAAAAGAGTATTCATCCTAAATAAAAGTAAGACATGTGTCTTTGCAAAGATAAAACATCAGCTTGGGTAGGATACATTTTCAGTGCTTTCCAAGGTTGGGCTCCATCATTTACTTTGTTCTTAGAGAATTGAGAATAGCTGAATATGAAACTTTTATTTACAATGTATAAAATGCTTTCCTGCCAGTCCTGGTTTCTAAAAGAGAGGCTTTTCCTAAAAGTTAAGGCTTATGGCAAATTCTTAGTAATAAATTTGAAAAATCAAATTTAAAATACAAGAAAATTCATGTTTTCAGTGCAATAGTACTACAAAAATCACTTTCTAAATATTACAAAATCCATCTGTGTAGCCCTCAGAATACATATGGGCCAGTATGAAACAAGTTATTGTGAAGCCTGGTTTTACCCAAAGTATATTCATGTTTATCCAATGCAAGCTAGAATCTTTAATTTAGACCTTATGAGCCAGAATACACATAGTCCTTGACTTACATCAGATCATTTAGTGACCATTCTAATTTACAAACTAAAAAAGTGACTTGTGGCCATTTTTCACACTTACAACCACTGCAACATCCTCATGATCAAAATTCAAATATTTGGCAAATGATTCGTGTTTATAATGATGGCAATGTTCTAGAGTCATGTGATCACTTTTTGTAACATTTTGACAAGCAAAGTGAATGAGGAAGCCAGATTTACTTAACAACCCTGTTACTAATTTAACAACTGCAGGGATTCATGTAAAAATTGTGGCAAGAAAAGTTATGAGGCAATAATTCATTTAATGTCTCATTTATCAACAGAAATTTTAGGCTCAATTGTGATAGGAAGGCAAGGAATAGCTGTACTGTTGCCTATACCAGTGGTCGCCAACCATGGGCCGGGGACCACTGGTGGTCCGTGAGAAAATTTTGGTGGTCTGCAGAGAAATGTCACCCCCAAAGCACCCCCCCAAAGCAATTAATCCAGGCCACTTGGGAACACAAGGCTTGTGTCGCTTGCATTGCAAACAACACAAGGTAGTAAGGGGAGGGGAGAAAGGGCAGAAGGGGGGAACTTGCCCTACTCGCCCCACGTGCCTGGCCTGGCCACTGGGCTGCTTCTTTCTGCTTTTTTCTTCTTATGCTTTTGGCCACATGCAAGGAAAGCAGCAAAAGTCTTTCTTTCTCTCCCCCAAACTCCACCAGAAATGAGTCTTTGGGACCCTGGAAGGCATCCTGCTCCAAGAGGCTGCACCGGTGCGACAAAGTTCTCAAAGACTCATTTCTGGCAAAATTTGGGGAAGAGAAAGAAAGATTTCTGCTGCTTCTGCTGCTTTCCTTGCATGAAGCCAAAAGTCTTTCTCTCTCTCTCTCTCTCTAGCTGCAGATGGTATCCTGTGATCCCCAATAAAGAATGATCGATTAGTAAGGAAAACAGGGTGGGAAATTTTCCTGCAGACTTTTTTGGGATTTTCCCAGGGTCTCTGGTCCTTGGGATTTAAAATTATGAGTTTCTGAGGTCTCTGAGGTCTATACTACTAGAAGATACATCTTGTGGTAGAATCTACTCAGACTTAACATAATAAATAGCAAAAGTTTTTTCCTATCTGGCAAGGTATTTTATCACTTTTCCTTTGGACTTAAATTTATGAATACAGAAGAATTCAAGAGCTAATTGGTCAAAAAGAATTGCACAGTCTCCCCATTAAATCCCTTTCACCCTATGTGCACTACAATTATTAATAATTTGAGCATACTGGTTTTCCTTATATCTAGAGGAGCAAACTTCAATTCTTCAGAATCATGCTGAAGCAGGCACAGAAATCACAGAAACTATATGATTAGTTTCACCTAATGCTTATAACTTATATTCTGCATATATTTCATATTTTATTTTTTTAAGCAGATGTATGCTATTGTGACAAGATGGTTCTATTAACCCACCCTGGATTTTCAGATTCAGAGAATATTCTTAGGATAACAGTATGTCTGCATTCCAACTGCCTCTGTTTCCATGGTAGCCACTAGAAATTGAGAGTCTGGGGGAAGGAATCGAGTAGAGGAAACGGTAAACTGTCAGAAAATAATTTTCTTTTGGGAAACCAATTCATCCCAAATAGAGGAAACTTCGCTATCATATATTATTCCTTACATGCTGAATCGAACGTATCTACCCCAATCTATCTCACCCCTCCCCCAAAACACAGACAAGGATTTCCACAAGGCAAGACAGAATTCTAATCATGTACGGAGTGCCCTTCCCCCACTGCAGCCAGTGGCTGATAATGCCACAATTCCCTTTTCAACATCAATAGAGACCCGGCACGTTGCGTGCAATAAAATCAGATAACCTCAATTTTTCCCTTCTACCTTCCCTCTGAAGTGCTTCCAGATTTCTGCTCTATTTGGATAGGTTCTCACCCTCATCGGAGAGGAAGCGCGTATCGTAAAACTCGCTGGCGAAAGTACCATACGAGGAATCGTGAGGTTGATGCTTCTCATCGGGCTGATTCCCTTTTGCATCTGTTTCGCGGCCTTGTATAGATCTTGTCTCCCAGCCGGTGTTCTCGTCCGCAGCTATGGCCCAAGAGGAAGCAGCGGAAGCGGCCACAAGCAACATCCACAAGCTGCACCAGCGAAGCCAGGACAAGATTGTTGCAAATGCGGCCATGGCGGCAGTTCTTAAGCCCGAAAGAGTTCTTGCGCGTTGCCACCGCCTCTTCTGGTCTTCTACTCCACCCTTTGCAAGACTTCAGCCGAACTACTGTATTAGCATCAGATCTTATTGTCATAACCAGGCTTCAGCTGCAAAGGATGACTTTTGTGTGTGCGCGCGTGCAAAACACTTCCTAATTATTACTTGAATGTCTACATGGGTATGACTATGTATTTATTGGTAGTCAAGATGATTGGACATCACTGAAATGGATGCAATGCAACCAAATGAACAGCTGAGGAAGACATATTTGAGATTGAAACCATGCTTCCATGAAGGGGAATAGCAGGCACAGAAATGGGAGGCTAAAAGCCATATTGAAGTACACCTGTCTATATTCCATGAGAAGCAGCTAAATATAGTACACAGTTTTGTGCATATTTGATAGTAATTCATGAGTATATCTCTTTTTTTAATCCAAAGAAAATAAGTTATCCAAGCCATTCATCAAATTTATTATTTGTATATCCTGTTTAGTTATTGAGACATCAGCTGGTTTCATTTGTATATTTCTTGTATCTTGTCTTTTTAAATCCATATGCAAAACTCCCTGATTCTCAGTTGTATCCTCTTCTATCTCCACTTTTAAACTTATCTTTATAGTAGTTCTTAAGAGAAATTTCTGAGTGTACTGCTGCCAAAATCCCTGAATTCTTCCAAAGTTAACATACTTTTCTCCATTCTGTATTACTGGGTCCCTTGTCCCTTAATTATAGTTTTAGTTCTTTCTGGTTGCTTCTAGTGTTCATCCTTTCTCCTCTCATTATGTTTTTCTACATTTCCACATTTTCCTATGTGAATATTTCTTAGTCTTACCTTCAAAATCTTCATATATTTTAACAGGATTTTAAACAATCCATGGGAAGGATTCTTATAATTAGTTTTAAATTATTATTTTTTTTGAAAATTTTATTGGTTTTTAAAAACAAACATAAACAAACAAAACATAAAACATAAAATCATAAAGCATCTTTTTTGAAAGCAGCATGATCCTGGGTTACATCTCTTCGTACAGACACAAATTCAAATCCATGCTCATTTTTATATTCCATTCCATATCTTATTATTATTCTACATTTTCTATATAGCTTCTCCCCTCTTTTAACTTTCTTAATTTTATTTTATTTCATCTCAATTCGAATCGTTGTACTTATATTCTTTGTCTGTCCTGTTTCCACTGTCTACTATCTTTTCTCATTAAACAAAATTTTTCCTGTAATCACTGATTGGAGTATGACGCCCTTATATCTTTCCCCTAAAATTATAACACTTAATATAATATATAACTTCCGTTCGGATTCTGCTTGGTACATTCTAAAACTACACACTATATTTTGAAAGAAGAAAAAATTATAAATATATAATTAAAACAACAATCCATACCAATTCAATTCTATCATTAATATTAATATTCATTTAAATCTTAACATTTTACACATTACTTTTAAAATAAGTATCATACTTCTATGGGAACACTTATAAACTTTCCATAGTTAATTCCCCACAACTTCACTTATTTTTTATAAAACACTGAATAATTAAAATGTTCCCATCCCTTCCTAATTCAATTCTCTCATTTATTTTATTTTATTTTGTTCACAAAAGTTTCACTAAATTGCACTAAATATTTTATCCCACTTTTTAATCATATGTTGTTTCCAATTTTCTAACATTATTTCTATTACAAACAATACAATCTTATGTACCTTTACAGAATCCCTTTTTCAATTAAATTTTCACCCATTATCTCTGAATAAGTCCTGTTTCTTTACATCTTGCTCCAAACCTTTGCAACTTCTCTTCCCTTCCTTCTTGCCTTTCTTCTTCTCTCTCCCCCTTTTAGCCCCCTATCTCTCTACCTCAATTTCCCTCTTCTATATTCCCCTCTTCTGTTGCTTTCCAACATTATATCCACTTTTCACATTATTTTTCCCTTTTTTGGCTGTTTTTTTAAGTATTAAATTCTCCATTCTCTTTCCCCCCTTTCCCCTTTCTTCCCCAGATAGAGTTGCTTGTTCATTAAATATGGCTTCTTCTTTGTCCCAATCTTCTTTTTGTGCAGTCTTTTCTTGTTGTTTCTTGTAGACGCAGATCGCCATTTCTAAGAATTGAAAGACAGAGCCAAAGGAGCCCTCGGGAAAGGGAGTTTGGCCAGCTGAGGAGGAAAGATGTGGCTTTCCTCGACCCTGCTGGCAATCTCCCCCCTCTTCACCACCTCTACGGGGTGGCTTAGCCCCGAAGCCAGCTGGCTCAGGGCGCTCCAGCAGCGAGCCCAGGCAGAAACCGCACACGATCGCGGATTCCTGCCTGCCGCCGAAGCCCTGCAAACTGGAAGTCTCCGTTTTAAATTTTTATTTCTGATCCATCTAGCTTGTAAGATGTTTATAACTTTCCAGAATTAATGATCCAATTAGTCTTTTTGCTGTTTATTTCATAATACATTTTAAATGTTTTTCTAAATGTTAAGTGGGATGAAACACACCATTCTGAAGGTTCTCGATATCCAAAAAGCAATTAAACAAGCTATTTCCAGAAGTAATGAAGAAAGTGTCTTACTTAAAGGCTCCAAACTGCAACTTGTGCAAAGTGACTTTTCATTGGGTCCCAGAATTCTAAAATCTGCCACTGTTTTAAAGTCTCTTCTCCTTTATCCAAAGAGGAATCCTGAGGCACTAATCTGTTTGCTGGCTCCTGGTTTCACCACAGAAGCTATTTTCAATTCACCCTTACTTCCCCAGGAGTTTATGTTTTTAGCATACTTGTATGTTTTGAATGATCCTGGGATTTGTTAGAACTGTATATTAATGAAGAAATAATTATTTGGTATGTGCAAAACCAAATAATACACAAATGAATTTGGTGTGTTTAAAACAAATTAGGATCTTAAGAACAGTCAATTTGAGAGAGGCTATTCTATCAAACAGTAATAAAATGCCATGACTTACATTTATATTTTGATCTTGCATAGCAAAGGGTCATAATCAAGTTCCTTCAACTGATGCAATTTCTATCTAGTAATTACATATGAAATTACTAACTTCCTGAATGTATCTTTGTGTCTCTTCAACAACAACAAACTTTAAACCTATCAAAAAAATGTCCACCTTTGCTAATGCATAAATCTAGCCACTTTGGCACTTTAAAGTGCCAAATCAGAATTATATTGCTGTTTGGATTTTCATCTGTCAGGTTTACTGCATTTATTTAATATTCTGAATAGTCATCTAATGTGTTGTATGTAATATCTCTGAGATTAAACAGAATAAGAAAAAATGGATATCCTTTCATTTATTTTGGGGAAAAAATTGTATACAACCCCATACAATGCTTTGGATCCAAAGGCAGAAAGGTACTTCAGAGTATCTAGACAAAAGTACTATTTGAAACTCCTTAAATCAAACATGATTTTCCCATGATTACATAGTTAATTTAAGAAGCTGGCACTAGTTCTTCATTGGTACTGCATACATATTGGTGAAGCACATTTTGCCTTCAAATCCAAAGCATTTAAGAGTTCAAGTGAATATGGTTTAGTTGATTAATTATGAAATGACAATTCCAAATTTATTACCAGTGCTAACCCTTTCCATTCTACTCTATAATGTTCTTCCTACTCTAATACTTTCAAAAATTCAAAGACAGCAAATTGGTTTGTTTAACATTGTGTACTATTTTAAATATTATTCTAATTGAATTGGCTTCTTAAAGAGTAAATCCTCAAATTCACATCGATGGTAACAGCTGTTGAAGGTACTAGTTTTGTTTAGTCTGTTTTGAAGAATCAAAAATAGTTGCTTAAGTCTGATTATTAATTCTTTGTAAATACTTTCAGGACAACCTATGAACTAATCACAGATAGTTGGTAGTATTAATGAAAATAATGCAGTATTTAGTATAAATTGTATAACTGATAGTTGGTCATGCTTAATGCAACCCAAATTTAAGTTAACCTGCGGCTAATATGTATGCAACTGAGACTAGCACATGTGCAGTAGCAATTGGGATTTTAGACATTGTAAATATTTGTGTGCTCAAAATGGAAAAAAGAAGATTCCATCAGAGGAAAACAATACAAGTTTTTTTTTTAAAAGAAGAGGATTATTTTATTATTATTATCAAAATTTTGAAGTAGTTTAATGATATGAGCAGGGTCATAGCAATGCTAAAATAGGACAAGGAGCTGAAATGTCTGAATCTACAATAAAATTGTTTAATTTTTATTTTGTTTTCTATTTACCTTGTGACATTAACCATAAATTTAAATTATATCCTTTATGTATTTCATTAATATACATGTAAAAATGTATGTTTAAACATTTCCATTATCTATTTCCATTGAGCTAGAATCAATTACCATATTTTCTATAAAAATATTTTGAGAAGTGAAAATTTAATCAGTGAAACCATTTTGTGAGATTTATTAATCCCAGTAATTGAGATGTACTTGTGCAAAAATAAGATAATTGTCATTGGTTACCTAATATTTTTTTTATATTGCCCAATGTATTTCACCCATGTAGCTTGCTCTCAAGGGAATTTTGCTTAAGGAAAAAAAAGAAATAAAAAATACACTTGTTAACCTGGAAATTGTTAAACTTGGAAACAAGCTATAAAATAAAGGAAACATGTGTTCTACAAAAGCTGACTATTGCTATAAAATAAATGTATGTTATTTGTTAAATGTGCATATTTGTCCTCCCTCCACACATGAATATGGATTGTTATTTGTATATTTGAATTCTATAGTTCACCATCTCTACAAATGATTGGTGTACTTCATAAAATGGCAGGCCCAAGTACCAAGACTAACTTCCTTTATATTTCTTCACTTACAGACAAAATCTTGCCAGACTAAATCAAATATTGGCATAATCACAAATATACTCTGGGAAAAGCTAGGGAGGAGCAGTTTTAACCTTCTTTCTGCTGAATCAAATTGGCCAGAAATGGCTGGGAGAAGATGGTCTCTTAAGTTCAGTCACAAGCCATAAGGGCTTTAGAGGTAACAACCAGCACTTTGAATTGCATCTGAAAGCATACTGGCAGCCAATGCAGCTCATATAGAAGTAGTTTTACATGAATAACAGATACCATTTACTTGTTGAGAAGGGACATTCTTCATAGGTTGAAGCTTCCAAATGCTCTTCAATGACTCATCCATGTAGAATGCAATAGATTGCAGTAATTGAGAGCAGGAGTGGGATTCAAATTTTTTAACATCTGGTTCTGTGGACATGGCTTAGGCAATAGGCATGGCTTGATGGTTATGTGACTGGCTGGGTGTGGCCAACTCAACATCACTCACATCGAGGCACGCATCTCCTCACCTGGCCTCTCATGACTGTGGGGATAATGCAACAGTGGTAAGTGTGAAAAACGGCCATAAGTCACTTTTTTCAGTGCCATTGTAACTTTAAATGGTCACTCCACACAAGCAAAGTACCAGCAAAGGAGGAAAAAAAACTTTAGAGAAGTTCCAGAGACAGGAAGTCTAGTCCTGCCAAGAATGTAGTAAGAGTTAATGGAGAGGCAGTTTCTATAAGTAACACCAGAATGTTTCCTTCCTGCCTTCCTTACAGGATTAGGCCAGTAATTTCTTCTAACAACCAGTTCTCCCAACTGCTTAGAATGTTAACAACCAGTTCCAGTGAATAGGTGCGAACCTGCAGAATCCCACCCCTGATTGAGAGGAAAGGTCACAAGGGCATGAGTGATTTTAAACAAGGCTACATGATACGGGAACGGACACAACCCTAAGATATACAAAGCCCTCCAGGCCATAGCTGCCATCTGCACTTCTGAATTCTATACATATTGACTGGATAGCATAGTAGTTAGAGCACTGCCTTTGATGCAGAAATCAGGGTTCAAATCTTGGCTGTATCTACCTTACCAGTAGAGGACCTTGGGCAGACCTAAAGCTTCACCTATCTACCTCAGAAATATGTGAGTGACATGAACTAGGAGAGTTATGCCAGCTCATACATTGCCTGGATTTACAAGATTTGTATCAAATATTGGGGACACCAGGAAAATCTGATGATAAGTTGCTACTGGAATAATGCATACATGGAAGAACAAGAGAATCTGGAATCAGAACAAGCTGAAAATGGGATACGTGGAGGCCAAAAACGGGGCATGCGGAGGCTGAAAGAAGGACTAGTGGGGCATGATACCAGTATTCCAGTATTTGAGAGGCTGCCACAAAGAAGAGGGGTCAATTTAGTTTCCAAAGCACCAGACGGTAGGACAAGAAACAATGGATAGAAATTAAAAAAGGACAGAAATCAGCTGAAATTAAGGAGAAACTTCCTAACGGTGAGAACAGTTAACCAATGGAACAACTTGCCTTCAGATGTTGTGGGTACTTCATCACTGAAGGTTTTGAAGAAGAAACTGGACAGTCACTTGTCTGAAATCAGAGGTGGTATTCAGCAGGTTCTGACCAGTTCTGGAGAACCAGTAGCGGAAATTTTTAGTAGTTCAGAGAACGGGCAAATCCCACCTCTGACTGGAGATTTTGCAGTATCCTTCCCAGGAGTGGTGATTCTATCAGTTTGCACCTATTCGCTAGAACCGGTTGTTAACATGCTAAGCAGTTCTGAGAACCGGTTGTTTAGAAGAAATTACTGGACTAATCCTGTAAGAAAGGCAGGAAGGAAATATTCTGGTGTTGCTTACAGAAACTGTCTCTCCATTAATCCTTATTACATTCTTGGCAGGACTTCCTGTCACAGGAACTTCTCTGGAGTTTTTTTTCCCCTCCTTTGCTGGTACTTTGCTTGTGTGGAGTGACCATTCAAAGTTACAATGGCACTGAGAAAAGTGACTTATGACCATTCTTCACACTTACAACTGTTGCAGCATCCTCACAGTCATGAAAGGCCAGACGAAGAGACGCGGGCCTCGATGTGATATTGAGTTGGCCACACCCAGCCGATAACATGACCACCAAGCCATGTCCACCCAGTCACATGACCACAAAGCCACGCCCACTGATTAAGCCACGCCCACAGAACTGGTTGTTAAAAAAATTGAATCCCACCCCTGATCCTTCCCCTGCCTCACCCACCAAGCCACACCCACAGAACCAGTAGCAAAAAAATTTGAATCCCACCACTGTCTGAAATGGTATAGGATCTCCTGCTTAAGCAGGGGGCTGGATTAGAAGACCTCCAAGGTCCCTTCCAGCTGTTCTGAGTTTCTGTGCATTAGTTGAAAATTACCAAAGTTAAAAGAATACAATGTCGACCATGTCTCATATTTTATACTTGCCTCTGGATATCCTGAATAACAGTTTATAATAATGATAACACTTAACAAATATCAAATGAAATAAAATTTTATGGCACAAAACTTCTTAATCAGTTGGATAAAATATACTCAAAAATGGACAGGATTCTGTCAACCTTCAACAGAAAAATAATGCTACTGTTAGCGTTTTCTTTTTAAATAAAGCAGGTATATGAAATACATGCAATACATGACGGGTAGCAGTTACCACATTCCAGGCTCTGTATGTTCAAGCCAAACGCCAAGTTTGCCAGCGTCCCCAGAACATTAATGCCTACTGGCTTTCACAGGGAACTGCATTCCCCAGGATTCAGTGCGGTAATCATTGCTTTTCTGCGGTTGGTGCGGTGGTTTTTTTTCAAAGCGGGTATGGTGAAATGTAGGAAACAGCAATAATATTAACGTCTTGGCTTAGCGATATGGCTAAATACAAGCGTGATGGTTCTTCGAGTCCGCTATCAGAATCTGAACTGGACCCAGATCCTCAGCGTTACCCGCCGCCGCCACCTCTGCAATTGCCACGCCTGGAGAAACCGCTGCGCCAGGCCTTCTACAATACCGGGGCTCTGGTTTTGGTGGGACTATGCTTTGGGGTGGGGGTACTCATTTATTTTATCCTCGAAGCGTTTCTGCGCCCACTCCTGTGGGCCGTCCTATGCGGCACCTTTTTGCACCCGTTTAAGAATTCCCTCACGGCATTTGGGCGTCGCTGGCTGCGTCGCCTCCGCCATTCCAACACGCCAGTATTTTTGGCTACTTTCTTATTGCCGCTGTCTTTTGCTAATGCGGCCGCCGAAACTTTGGGTAATGAGATCGTGCGGCGCCGTTGGCTTCTTCTTCTTTTGAGTGCCGGAGCTCCAGTTTTGTATGGAGTATACTGTATCGGTACCTCCTTTGAGGTCCAGGTGGTTCTTGAGTATTCCGCCAGCCTCATTTGCCAAGGACTAAACTATTTCAGTAGCCGTTGGGTAAGTTATACTCAATCTCTTGGAAGTAGTGGCGTAAGTGGATGTGTTCACTACAGCGAGTTACACATTAGCCAGTTGGTTAGTCCAACGCACGTGAGTTAGTATTACGAGTATATTTCGGAGAAAACAGAGATGGGACGTACGCGTGAGGATTTTTGAACGATAGAGTTCAACCAGTAGCGTCTTGAATTTTTCTTCAAAAGTCGCAATTTGAACTAAGGCTACCCTAAACTATCTTCTAAACTTCAGAATCACTGTATTAAAAATGTCAATGCTTCTTGAAAGTATCGAGAACTGCATGACAATCTATAGGAAAGGAGAATTGAAAATAATTATTGAGCTTCATTTAAATAATGTTATAAATGGAATAAATTAAGCAAGAAACATATTGTAGAAGGAATGAAATGGATTACAGAAAAGTTATAAATTACTCTTTAAAAAGATTTTAAAAGCTGGATTTACAATAGGTGTTTTTGAAAACATCACTATAGTAAATATAAATGCAACAATGCTGTTTCTAGTTTCTTTTAACTATTCTAATGTTTTCTTTAATTTTAATGCATCCTCTTTTCATAACAATACTTATATTTTCAGAATAGATATTCAATGTTTAGGAATCTTATAGTAATAGATTTCATCCTTTACAGACTTCTTTTATAAATTTTATTTGTGCATTTTTCTTTTATATACATGAATGCTTAATAAACTATGTGTTGTCATAATATTATAATAAGCAATTTATTTATACATAATATCAATAATAATAACAGTATTTACTTGTATTCTTCCAACTTCTAATTTCTACCTTTATTGTCTAACTAATTGTAAAATAAATGCCATGTTAAAAATATTCTGTATCTTCTTTATCCTTTATCTTTAATGTTAACCTATCCATTTCTGCACAGTCTAATATTTTTTTAATTATGTTTTCATCTGTAGGAATTTCCACATTTTCCCAATATTGTGCAAATACAATTCTTGTTGCTGTCAACACATGTAATATTAAATATACAACCCCTTTTTCATAATTTTTTGTTAATATACCTAACGGAAATATTTCTGGCTTTAAATCTCTATGATGCTTTATCATTTTCTCTAACCATGTATGTATTTTCGTCCAATATTTTTTAACCTTTGGGCCTGTCCACCACATATGCCCGGTATCTGATTTCATTTCTAACATTAGGTGGACATGTATTTGAACATCATTGCTAATCTTGGTGGCAGATGCCACCTGTAAAACCTTTTATATAAGTTTTCCTTACACGTAGTTTCCATTGTCAATTTATAATTTCTATCCCAAAGTTTTTGCCATTTGTCTAATTCTATTGTATATCCAAAGTTTTTTGCCCATACTATCATTATTTCTTTTACTTGTTCATCTTTCATTTTAAAGCTTAATAAGTAGCTATATATATATTTTATTAATTTTTCATCTGTTCCTAAAAGTATCCGATAAAATGCTGTTGGTTCTTTATAAAAGTCATACATTCTAGCACAGAGGTGTCAAACTCAATTTCATTGAGGGCCACATCAGGGCTATGTTTGACCTTGGGAGGGCCGGGGAGGTGTCACCAGGGTGTGTGTGGCTAGAATGACATCACTTGTGTTGGGGTTGTTGCCTGTGGTGGCCTGAGTGTTCTGCCAGTGCAAGCAGGCTCCTGAGCTCTGTTTTTGGCTGGGACAGCCTCCTGCAACCCTCTGGCAGTGAAAATGAAGCTCTGTTTTTGCTGGCAGTGGTACCGCAGGCCAGTCCTTCACTATTTCCAGGGCATCCCCGTGGTCCAGATCTAAGCACCTCATGGGCTGGATCCGGCCCCTGGGCCTTGAGTTTGACACCCCTGTTCTAGTATCTTTCACATATCTTGATTGTACTTGCAGATGTGGCCACCATGCAAGGTCCGCTCTTTTATTTTCTAGTTCCTGTTTAGTTTTAAGTTCCTCTTTTTCATTTAAAACATCTTTATACTTACATTTTTTTCCTAATTTACAATGTTTGGATGTTCAGTGCTTCCATTTTGGAAAGCCATCCTTACAGACTTCTGGGATTGTAATAGACCTTGAACTAGAAAAATGTATGCAAGCTGTTTTGGTAAATGCTTATCTTGTACACGGGCAAGCTTGAGCAGGGGGTTGGACTAGAGGATCTCCAAGGTCCCTTCCAGCTCTATTCTGATTGAAATAAACATATTCTGTTACAGAGGGCAAGTGTGAGTTGAGAGATGGTAGCATAAGTGCATGTATACAAATACAACAACCATGTTTCTATTTGCTTATTGTTCAGACACAGATTGTTGATAGGCATTTATTTTTAACACTTATTCTTTACTCTGTGGAGATGCTAAAATTTATCCTTTCATTTATGGATTGATATGATAGTCATCTTCCAATACTTGAAAGGCTGTCATGGGGAAGAGGGAGTCAGTTTATTCTCCAAAAACACCAGAGGGCAGGACAAAAAGCACTAGATGGAAACTTAGCAGAAGAAGAGCCAGCCTGGAACTAAAGAGAAATTTCCCAACAGTGAGAACAATCAGTCTGACAGCTTGCCTCTGGAATTTGTGGGTACGCTATCACTGGAGATTTCAAGAAGAGGTTGAACAACCATTTGTCCAGGATGGAATAAGGTATCCTGCCCTAGGCAGAGAGTTTGACTAGAATACCTCTAAGGTCCCTTCTAGCCTATAATTCTATGATTGTACATTCCCAATGTTAGCTTTTACCCAATTCCTCCTTGCATCTCTTTCAGTTTCTATGATTTTATAAATGTTATTAACTAAATACTGAATATCTACGTGAGAAACTGCAAATGCAAGTTTGGAACATTATTTAATTAATTAAAGTTAATTAATTAGTTTAATTAAAGTTTGGAACATTATTTAATTAATAACTGTCATTTAAAATGGAAAACCGTATTCTTTCCAAGTGAAGAAGATAAAGATGAAACAATTATTTAACTCCTAGGAATACGCTGACTGAATTTAGCTTATGGGTTTCTAGTGCACAGTCCTGGTAAATTGAAGTTAATATAATACTCGGTTAGAGATTTATACTCAAATTCCATCTCCTTTTTAAATATTCAGATATGGACCTTGATAGCAGGCTATCTGTTGACTGTGTTATTCAGATGGAACCCAAGCACCGAGCGTTACTTGAGAGCAATATCAGTTCCCCTCTGGATTGTGCTGCTGTTTCATTTGGGTGAGTGAATACATGTTATATAATATGAAATTTTTCTGTAGATTTTAGAAACTAGAAAGTTAAATGGGAAGGTTAGCTGGATGTTAGCCATAGTAGATGATTGTTATCTAGCATGTTTAAATATATTTTGGCATGAAACAAAGATAAGAATTGATTGAATATGCTTAATTTCTAAATTCTGAAGGTCCTCATTCTTTTTAAAGCTTACTATATGGGTTCATACATCATGCTAAGATAATTTTTTTACTTTTAATCTAGCATTATATGTCACCTTACCCATTGTGTTTTCTAAACTATAATTCATGACTCAGTATTATATATGAATGAAGTGGTTATTCAAATAATGGTCTATTGTAATATGGGAACATAATTGTATTTTTTTCTTGTGCATATTCATCCTTGTAAATATATGGATAACTTTTTAAAATCTCAAGGCTAAACTTTAACTTTGTACATTGCCTGGGATTTAGGTGAGCTTGATGTCTGTGGAGAGGGCAAGACTTAAATACTTAGGTCCTAATTTTGCAATTTTAAGGGGTGATACATTGTGAAATCAGTACCTGCCATCTAGTCCTAGCACCTTTCTGGGCAAGTTTTGCAGTTTTTTTGGCAAGGTTTTTCAGAGGTCTTTTAATTTTGATTCTTCTCTAGGCCTGAGAGAAAGTGACTAATTCAAGGTAATCCATCATGCTTTGTGCCTACCATCTTCCAATTTTAAGCTTGGTGCCTCGGCCACTACATCAAACTGGCTGTAAATAGAAAGTTAGATAGCATTTTCCTACATCTTGTATTAATTTTGAATATAGCATATTTTATTATATTCAGAATTAATACAAAACACAAGAAAATGCTTTATTATAAATTGTTGTTAATATCCTATGATTTTTATAAGTATATAGCTTGACTAACATTATCATCATCTTTGACAATATCTGTCTACAAAAAATGTGGCTGTTTTAAAAGATACATACTTTTTTCTAGCTTCTGCAGCAGGATCTTGGAGAATTCCAATTGTTGTACTTATAATTGTCTTAATGACAGTAGGTATGCTTCATGAACAATCAAATGGAAAAGAGCCTTCAGGTAAAAATTAATTACTTTTTTAAAATAATGGAATATAATTATCATCTGTAATGAGCCTATTTAAATTTATACAGTGCCCAATTCCCAAAGATTCTAGGTGATTACTGATTAAAAAAATAAATAAAAACTAGAAAAAATAAAATAGTTAAAATATGTTTATTAGAAATAAACAATGAAAATGGGAGAAATGATAACAACTAATGGGGAACAAAATAAATACAGTGGTGTGTTGGTACTCAGTTGCTTCCATCTCATTGAATTTGACACTCAACACATTTTGATGCAAAAATGTTGTCCTGGTACTTGTTTGGTATTCGACTAACTGCTATATGAAGAGAGGGATGGCCATGGAGAACAGATAGGAAGTTGGCCAAGCCAGGAAGGTCTCTGCAAAAGGAAGCGGGTGGTGGTGGCTGCAGAGGGCAAACAGGAAGTCAATCATGCTGGTAAAGTTACTGACCTAAGAAAAGGTACAGACAGGAACTCCTTCCTGGCTAAAAGAAAAGATCAACTGTTTTGTTTGGTACCTATCATTTTTAGTACTTGTTGTACTTCTTGGAACAATTAATGATGAGTATCGAGGTACCACTAAACCACATAGGGCAAAAGGGCCTTCACTCATTTTTGCCAAAAGTTTTGGTGAAGAACCGGGTCTTCAAAGCCCTTTGAAACATCAGAAATGGGAGCTCTGAGATCTCAGAGGAAATCTCATTACCAAATGCAGGCATTACTGTTTAGAAGGCACATTAAAGGTCCAGTAGAGAATATTATTTAATTGGAAAAACCTGAAATCTGCCAACGCAGCCAGGTTGAATCAACCAGGATGTTACTATGAGAGAAATATAGTTTTGTTTGAACATGAGTAGTGGGTATTAAGTGCCAGCAAGACTTTTGATGTTTTTGTCAGTGTGGTGGGGGAAAGATTACTGGTATTGCCATTCTTTCAAAAAGGAGAAAGCACTTCATTTTATTAAGTTGGATTTGGTATTATAACTTTTAAAACCTATTTAACAACAGCGGTGGGACATCTCCATGGGGGATGAGTCTGCCTACTGAGATGAGGTGAACCGGTTGCTTTCGTAGTGTGGAAACAATAACTTGATCCTCAACACCAATTAGACCAAGGAGCTTATAGCGGACTATAGAAGGAACAGATCAGACATCCAGTCCTTGCTTATCAATGGAGACCGAGTAGAGCAAGTGGCCCGTTTTTTAAAGTTTCTGGGTGTTACCATAAAAGAGGACTTGACCTGGGGTGCTCACATTGCAGCACTGGTCAAAAGGGCCCACCAGAGATTATACTACCTGAGACTTCTCAGAAAGCAACAGCTGAATGAAAAACTGCTGTTGACCTTCTACCGCTGCACCATAGAGAGTATCTTAACTTACTGCACCTCTGTATGGTTTGCCAATTTCACAGTGACAGATAGGAAAGCACTCCAGAGGGTTAACGTCATTGCCTAGAGGATCATTGGTCGCCCTCTCCCCTCTTTGGAAGAGCTTTATAGCTCCCGCTGCCTTAAGAAAGTTCAAAACATTCTTAAAGATCAATTTCATCCTGGGAAAACTTTTTTTGAACTACTACCATCTGGCAGACGGTACACAATAATAAAAACAAGCATAAATAGGCTGAAAAATAGCTTTTAACCCAAGGCAGCTCTTTTGAATTCTACTGTATAGTGCAGTGTTGGGGATTTTCGATTCAATGTGTGGAGGGTGTTTGTGTTTATTTTCATGGTCATGATGTGCACTGAAGATGGTGTTTGATTTCATTGTACAAGGTGCAATGACAATAAAGTAAACTATTTCAAGTTTTTTGAAGAACAGGTAGTCCTCGACTTACCACCACAATTGAGCCCAAAATTTCTGTTGTTGAGAGAAACATTTGTTAATGTTTTGCCCCATTTTAGGACCTTTCTTGCCACATTTGTTAAGTAAATTATTGCAGTTGATAATTTAGTAGCATGGTTGTTAAGTGAATCTGGCTTCCCCATTGATTTTGTTTTTCAAAAGGTTGCAAAAGGTGATCACATGACCTTGGGACACAGCAATGGTCATAAGTATGAACCAATTGCCAAGCATCTGATTTTGATCATATGATCATAGGCATGCTTCCAAGATTGTAAGTGTGAAAAATAGTCATGTCACTTTTTCATTGCTGTTGTAACTTTGAACAGTCACAAAATGAACTGTTATAAGTCGAGGACTACCTGTATTCTCCTGTTAAATTGTCCATATAAGTATTTCTACATTATTTGGATTATAAATTTACTGGAAAGAAGCTGGAGAATTCAATTATTAAAATGCATCATCTGTTTCCTTTTCTCTTATTATATTTTAATATATTTTATTATATTTATATTATATTTTATTATATTTTAATACAGAGGCACAAGTTCTTGGTCAAGTAATTTCCATTGCAGCATCTGCGGTCACTACAGTAATCTCTGTTACATGTTATGAATCAAGTAATGAAGATCATCCATTACAAACTTCAGGTGACTTTAATTACAATGATTGTAAAAATATTCTAATATTTTAATTAATCACATTGTATGGCTTATTTATATTGATTTGTGCACTTTAATTTGATTTCTGCATTTTTCTTTCTTGGTCTAAAAGTTGATGGATTTAAAACAGGTGCTGAAATTAAATTAATTTAGGAGGTATTTTATCAACCCTAATGGTGAAGCCTTAAGAAAAATTAAGTAGCATTAAAGATGTTTTAAAAAAACTGAAATGCATAGTGTAGATTACAAAACACTCTTCAATTCTGAGTTTGTCTGGCCTAATTTAGGAAGTGAGAAAAAACTGTCAGTTGCCTGCTCATTTTTATATCTGTCATTTTCATTACAATTTGGCAACAGTAACTTAATCACTTATCCCTTCTCATTATCCTTCTCACTAACCTTACCAATGTTCTACCTGTGCTGCCTTTAGAATGTATTTGAAAACTGCAGTTGATTCAAAATGCATCCAGGTATTCCTGACGTTGGATGTACATAATGCAGCAAGAGCCAGCATTGTGCTGCAGTTTTTATAGTAACCAATGCAGAGGTGGTATTCAGCAGGTTTTGACCAGTTCTGGAGAACCGATAGCGGAAATTTTGAGTAGTTCGGAGAACTGGCAAATATTACCTCTGACTGGAGATTTTACAGTATCCTTCCCCTGCCATGTCCACCAAGCCATGCCCACCAAGCCATGCCCACAGAACCGGTAGCAAAAAAAAATTGAATCCCACCACTGAACCAGTGCAATACTAGGCTGCATCACCAGGATAGAGATTCTGATTGAGATCAGAAGAAATGTAATTCTGGTCCAAGTTGTATTGGTCAGAGTCAGACTGTATTTGGAATACAATTTTATTACCATCTCACAACAAAAATGCTGAGGAACTAGAAAAAGTACAGAGAAGAGCAACAAAGATGGTAAGGAGCTTGGAGGCTAAATAGTATGAAGAGCTGTTAAAAGAACTGATTATGTTTAGCCTGAAGAGAAAGCTAAAAAGAGACATGAGCAGCCTTTTAACACTTGAAGGCTTATCATAGGAAAGAGAGTATGAATTTCTTTTGTGTAGTGCCCAAAGGTTAATCAAGAACTGATGGGTGGAAGCTTTATAGAAAGAGATAAAGAGTAATTTCCTAACTACAATATTTCATTCATAATAGCTATTATGAATGAAACAGTCTGCTCCCTGTAATACTCCATTCATTGTATCCTTTAGTCTAGGGCCCCACAACCTTTTGTGCACCAGAGACTAGGTCTGTGTAGAGGAGTTTTTCCACAGACCAGAGGGGTGTGGTTTTGTGTGCTGCCTGCATCTCATGGATGGGGCTTCTTCACTTGTTTGCACAGCCCAGTTGCTGGTATGCTGCGGAGCAGTGCTGGTATGCAGAAATTGAGGACACTTTCTTTAGTGGCTGAAGGAGCTGATCTTCAAAGCATTTATAATACTGGCTTGTAAGACTATCTGGACCTTTACTTATTATTTTTTCTTTATATTTTCAGCTTTTCCTGGGTATCATGACTCTTTTCTTCTCAGTCTTTGATGTAAATGAGGGAAATGGCAAGATGTTTACCTCACACAAAGTCTAAGGAAATAAACTCCTCTCTTTCCCAGTTTTTTGGCAAGTTTTCAGAAGTAGCTTATAATTGCCTGCTTCCTAGGGCAGAAAGAGAGTGATTGATTCAACATCAACCAGTGGGTTTGTACCTAATATGGGACTAGAAATCATTGTCTTCTGGTTTCCATCTTGTTGCCTTAACTACTACAAGTAGTCCTTGATTTATGACCATTTTATGACCATTCAAAATTGAAAAATGTGACTTACAACTGGTCCTCCTGCTTATGATCATTGCAGTATCGCTGCAGTCATGAGATAAAAAATCAGACACTTGGCAAGTACTTGAAGCTTCCTAGATTTTATATAAAATCATCATTTGTGATTTTCGCAATGGACTTCCAACAATCAAAGTCAATGGGAAAACCAGATTGGCTTAACAATTATGTGATTCATTTAATGACACAGCAAAAAGGATAGCAAAATTGGGCACCACTCCGTTAATGATTTTGTCATGTTCCAGTCTAACTGGGTCATAAGTTGAGCATTACCTGTAACCAAGCTGGTTCTCTGTTATAACAATAGAAGTGTTTTATGTTCAATGATGCTCTTAACTTCTTCAAGTTAAGCCTGCTGATCCAATAATAAATATTGATTGTTGTAATTATGATTTTTTTTCTAGAAATTGTAGAAAGTGGCGATCCCTTATCAGGATCATCCAGTGAGAAGAGCAGGCAGAGACCTGAGATTGCAGCATTTCCTAAAAAGAAGAAAGCCAGTGACATCTACTTTGTTCTGCTTGTATGGAGCATTATAATAGTCCAGATCTGGTTTAATTTCTGGATAATTCAGTTGCTGCCCTTACCTTTTGCAGGTTATTCATTTTTTACATTGTGATTTACATTTTGATTGGGCAGGTAACTAAATACTGTCTTTGAGATGGCAACTCCAGTCCAATTTTGTGCAGATTTATTTATCCTTAGAACTCAGCCCAGTCTTGAAGGACGGGGCTGCAATAGAAAAAATACACAATCATAAATCTAATCAAAGCCAGTCCAATTCGCAAAAACATACTGCCCTGTTTTGCTTAATAGTCCTATATTTAACTAATACTAAGATATAAAATATTTTCTCTGTGTAGATATTTACTGTGGCGCCTCAACTGGTATGGAGACAGGAGGACACAAAATACATCTGGCATGTTTATTATATTTTCAGATGATATATTTAGATAAACTCTTAAAAGAGTGAGGCAATACGTTTATCAGAAGACATGCTACATTTTTTTAAAGTGCAGGGATAAGAACGGGAAGCAGAGCCCAGTCTAAACTCTATTTTTACTCATTCTGATTTATTATAAGCATAATTAATAGCACAGTTAATTAATTTAATTAGATGTTATTTATCCGATTATGACCACAACCTAGTATGTTGTATGAAGAGAGTTACTAAATGAAATTACACTCTCCCTTACTCTCTATTCTAAAGAGTAATGCCTCCCCTTACCTGCCCTTTCTGTAAAGTTTTCATCCATGCAGTGTTTATATTACACTAATTCTGCCACTTCCACCAAGATTTTATCAATATCTACTACATTGCGTTTTCATTTAAACCAACTATCTTGATTCAAAACCTTTCTACCGCTGGCATAGAAACAGTTACAAAAATGTTGCTCTTAATGGTACAAATCCTTCTCATACCCTTTTGATCCTTTTATAACCCTTTTATAGGAAAATTTCAACTCAACTGGTAATTTACCTTCCTTATATGCTTAATGTTACATTCTAATTCCTAGGAGTTCAATAATATTTACTCCTCATTATATTCACCAGTTAGGATTAAATCTGGGTTGCCTTATCTCCTTGATTCTAAGACCAAAGATCAGTGTTCGAAGGCATACATCTGTCTCCTTGTGAACCTAACAGCTTTTTAGATATTTGCAAACCACTGTCGTATTTTCATTTGATTTTCTTTTTGCAAATTATATTTGTCTAGTTTTTTCAAACATTTCTCACCCTGTTTAGTTTTCATACTTCTTATTCTTGAATCTGACTGATAAATCTGCTGCAGGGTTTTTTGTGTTTTTAAAAGCTAACAGGTAGTCTTGAATTTATGACCATTTGTTCAGCAATGATTCAGAGTTATTGAGGTGCTGGCCTTTGCACTGTGACTTTTTGTAACTCCAGAGCCACAGCACAACACAAAGCTCAGTCGCAGGCTGGCTGTCCCAGCAGCAAAAGGCATGCTGCTCAGCAGCAGCAGGAGCAAGAAGATGGTAAGATCAGATGAGGTGTAGCAGATGAAGAGTCCCAGAATATAGAATTAAGAGAGAGAAGGCAGATGGGACTGGGTTGAAATGGACTGGTTCCCAGACTGTAGCAAGTGACTCTCAGAGTCATGCAGTTCTTGGGCTGTTTGCTACAGGAAAGCCAAACAAGCAGACAAATGATGGAGATAAGAACCAATTTGAGTCAGTCCCAACACTTACTGAGTCTTGGGGCTGAGAATACTAACCCACAATGGCTTGGATTGGGGTGGAAATGTCATTAAACGATGTGATCACGTGATGTCGCTGTCAGGTCAGCTTCAGGGTTGACAGTCGCCCTTAGTGATAGAAATTTAATGCCCATTATGGTTGTCAGTTGTGGACTATCAATACTTCGAAGTGTTGTCTAGCTAGGACCTCTTATATCTCATAATCTGGAATCACACTTCTGTTCATGCAACCATTTTCATCTTATTATTCATAAGCACCTTCTCACATGTTTGCTTACTGATGTCTTATGTTTTTTAATGTTTTGTATGCTTAAGGGGGAAAAACATTTTGAGGGCTGTTGATTCAGGCAGAAAAATTTGAATATAAACTTAATTCAATTGAATATGAGCCCTAGCTTGGTAGTTAGCCCTAGCATGGCAGTATTGCAGGCTAACTCTGTCCATAGCCTGGAGCTCAACCCTGATGGGGGTCAGCATTCCCGTCTCCTGAGGTCAGTAAAAAGAGGACCCATATTTGGAGGGATAATATGCTGACATTGTAAACCATCCGAGGGTGCTGTAAAGCACTATGGGGCAGTATATACATTTAAGTGCTATTTCTATTGCTATTCCTATTGAAACAAAATGACTTTATGAACAAAAAGTATAGGTATTACATATGAAAATTACTTAATTCCTTTTTTATGTTTGCAGTGTGGGTTTTAAAAAAACTGTTTGTCCACTTTGGAATAGTGCAGTTCTCACTGATTTACTGCAGTAACTATTGGCATACTCTGGAAGATTTTGTGAGACAACGTCAAGAAGTTCTTGTACCCCAACCAGTTAAGGGTCTTGGAAGAATTATTCTCAAGTTAGACAGCAAGGTATTTATAATTATTTGTGAAATTGCTCTAGTTCAAATATTTTTTAAGAAATACGCACCCTGTATTTTGCTACAATATTTTTCTATTAAAAATAATAAAAGATACTGGTGGGGCTTCAGATTATAAGTAGCACAACTTTTCCAATGTTGTTTTCAGGGTTTTATTGTAGTTAATAACTGGGATTATGACATTAAAAATGAAGCACTCTTTCATAGGAAAGAGACAGAAACAACATTCATCTATTCTCTTGCACTACTTGAAATCAGTTCTGTAAGGTTGGAGAAGCTACTCATATAGTTTTGGAAAAAGTTTGAGGGAACCATAGAAAGAAGTTTATTACATTTTCTTGCTTTTTACAGCTGATCGTGTGGTTGGAAAAAATCCTAGATAAAATCATTAGCATATTTATTATATTTGTGCTAGTGATAGGCACCCTGCTGCTTGCATTACTCCTTACAGCAAAGGTATGTGTCCTATTAAATAATACAATATTTTTACTAAAACTTCATTCATTCTAATCTGCAGATTTCATTAATGGCCAGTGTTTTATTTCTTCTCAAAATTGATATAATCAACGTATATTCTAATAATCACACTAAACAAGGATTGTGATTGAAAGAGAAAAGTATTTTAGTTTCCCTCAGATTAGATAAGTTTGTTTTTCTAGGAAAAAGGCAGAGGTATGCACAAAGTAGGAAAAAAAACCCTATTCCAACCAGGTTACTCATATGTCAGGATGATAATTCAAATTGTGATGTATTTAACTTTGCGATAAGCCTGCTATATATCTATTATACTACCATGCCCTCTAATGTAAAGATAGATAGATAAATATTGACAAAGCATAAAATGTATTTTTCCTTTTTTTTTTCTTTGAAATAAGGAAGGAATAAAGACAATAACATGCCATCACATATATCATTGCGGTTGTAGAGTATTTTCTTATAAGAAAACAAATGCAAAATATATGCAGTCTGTAAAAATGAAAACACTTTGATTTTTATTATGTCTTTTAAATTTTATTATGTCTATTGATGAATAATTTATCAGAGTATTAGGCTTGGGACAGGAAGCAACCAGCCAATGGGGTCTGGTAGCAGCAAGTAGTTGGCGGAAGTTCACTATTACATCAGGTGCATGCTGGGTAACTGGCAGTGGTGGTGTGCAGAAACTATCATGGGCGGCTGGGGGGCTCCTGAGAACTGTTGATGATAGCAGCAGCATGCAGAAGGTGATCTCAGGGGTGCGGGAGTGCTGAGCAACTGGTGGCAGTGGTAGCGGTGTGGAGAAGTTATTGCAAGAGGGCACCAGGTAACTGGCAGTGGTGGCGTGCAGAAATGATCAGGGGTGGGTGGGTGGGCTAACAATTAGCAGCAGGGGTGGTGGCATGCAGAAGTGATTACAGGGGTATGGAGGTGCACCAAGCAATTGGTGACGATGATGTGGCATTGTGCAGAAGTGTTTGCAAGGGGACAGGGGCTACTGGGTAACTTGTGGAGGGTGGTGCCATCAGACATGCAGAAACAGTCACAGGGCACCAGGCAACTGGCAGCAGTGGTGGTGACATGCAGAAATGATTGCAGGGGAGCGGGGAAGCTCCAGGCAATTGCTGGCAGCGGCATGCAGTGATTGCAGGGAAGTGTGTGCAAGGGAGCAGGGGCTACCAGGTAACTTGTGGCAAGGGTGGAGCCACCGGACATGCAGAAACAATCACAGGGCACCAGGCAATTAGCAGCAGTGGAATTGGCATGCAGAAGTGATCACAGGGGGATCAGAGGATCCAGGCAAGCAGCAGAGGCTTTTGAGCAATAATTACAGGTTGGACACTTTAGATTCAGCTTTGACCTTGCACTATGCGTCCTTTCACAGAAGTATGAAATCTCAATGGCAGGGACAGGACAGGAGCAAAGAGGTCCCTTACCTGCTGTAGCTCTCTGGTTCGAGATCAACTCCACGGGTCTATTTCCAGTCAGCTCTTCTGCACCCAGGAAAGTTTACCCAGGATATTTCTCTAGTCTAGCAGGACAAGCGGCTGTGAGGAGGAAGGGATATGTTTGCCTCCCCTCACACCTTTTGCTCAGCGCCCTCCATGTGATCACATCTGCATGCCATCACTGTCAGTTGGCCAGCTCATTCCTGCCCCTCTGCGATTGCTTCTGCACGGTGTCACCACAGCCACCAGTTGCCTGGCACCCTCCACAATCACTTCTGCAAGCCATCTCTGTCACTTGCCCAGTGCCTCCTGCAACAGCACCATAATGGCATGCTTCCTCCCCAAGCTGATTGCTTGCTGCCACCTGCCACCATTGGCTGGTGGCTTCTTGTCCTGTGCACCCTATGGCTCAATTCAAACGGTGTCTGTGTGAAAAGATGAGGGGCAGAGGGCCAGGGGTCATTGGCCAGGGAAAAATAGCCAGGGGAGGGCCAGTGAAGGAAGAAATCTGGCTTTAAATCAGCTGAGACAAATGGCTGGGGCCAAAGGGGGTGTGGCCACAGGTTGGTGCCTAAATGTCTCATTCTGCTGACAGGGACAAGCCACTCAAATATAGTAAACTCCATTCTTTACTAGCACTGATGATGTTACCTAGTTTGGATAATGAAACATCTCCATGAAAACAACTAAGTTCAGAGCACCAAGAACCCCTCATTTCAACCCTGAGCTACAGATATTATCCTTTATTGATAATGTATAAGTTATCCCCTCCCTTTATGCATATGATATCACAATACACACAAGATATTCAAAAAGTTTCAGAGCAAAGGAGAATGATTTTGAGTGTAAACACTTCCATTGAAATACTCTTGCTTCTTCTGATTGAGAAAGTCAATTCTATGTGTTCTGCCATATTATAACACTCTATTATTCAAACAAAACTTCATCTATTTTCTTTGCTTCATCTTTACATCCTGGAGAATCAGATGTGGGTTAATATAAGTTCAACTTGCTACTTGTTCAATATGCAATTTTTGAGCCATGCAACTTTTACTTAAAACTGCACATTTTGTCTGTGGTTCCATGTGAACTTTAATCATGAAGTCATCAGTTAAGCTTTTGCTTTTTTGACAAGTAGGTTCAGAAAGTTTTTTTTTTAAAAAAAAACAATTGAGAAAATGTTGGAGGATTTGATTTTGAATATTAAGACTTTGAAATTATTTTTTCAATGCAATAAATCCTTCTATGAATGTTGGATAGTGAATGTTGCATTATCTGGAGACTGCGGAATAGAAGATAAAAGATCCAGAGAAAATAACAAAATACAAAAATCTGCAATAAAACTGGAACATTTGTGGTGAATAAAGCAAAGGTAGTACCAATAGTAATAGATGCAGTCCCAAAACATCTGGAGCACTATTTGAACACTATCTGCGTGGACAAAATCATAATCAGCCAATTGCAAAAGGCATCAATTGAATTCACGCAATTGAAACAGCATATGTTCTGCAACAATACCTTTAACATTAGGAAACAACTATTGCCTATCACAAGTCCTTGGGAAGGACTCAATAGGTGGATAAAAATGCCAAATCCTGTCTAAACTTCTTCATGTCTATGCAACCAACCATCATAGTAATAATATTCTAAGCTTTGGATGACACTTAGGAAATCTGTGCATCGACAAATGTTCCGGTTGTCAGCTACAAAAGCTGCTTGGATCCACACATATATTATGCAAATACATTGCAACATACTAGGTTCTTGAGAGAGCTCTGTCTTACATATTGGCAAAAAAATCAGAAAATAAAATACAAGCTGAATAGTCAAGACCTTGTTGATGATCCAAACTCTGTCAAGAACCTTGGAATACTCATCTCTAATGACCTAAGTGCTAGAGCCCACTGTAACTACATAGCCAAAAAGGCATTAAGAATTGTTAACCTAATCCTATGTAGCTTTTTCTCGGGTAATATCACATTGCTAACTAGAGCATACAAAACATTTGCTAGACCAATACTTGAATACAGCTCTTCTGGAACCTACATTACGTATCTGATATTAACACAGTTGAAAATGTCCAGAAATATTTCACAAGAAGAGTTCTCCACTGCCCTACTCATTGCAGAATATCTTATGCCACCAGACTCGCAATTCTAGACCTAGAAAACCTAGAACTACGCCACCTTCGGTCCGATCTAAATATAGTACATAAAATCATACATTGCAATGTCTACCTGTCAATGAATACTTCAGCTTCAACAATAACAATACAAGAACACACAATAGATACAAACTGAAGGTAAACCGCACCAAACTTGATTGCAGGAAATACAACTTCAGCAACAGAGTGGTCAATGTCTGGAATACTCTACCTGACTCTGGTTTCTTCCCCAAACCCCAAAAATTTAACTTTAGACTGTCTACTATTGACCTCACCCCTTTCCTAAGAGGTCTGTAGGGGTTGGGCATAAGCGCACCAACGTGCCTACCATCCCTGTCCTATTGTTTCTTTTTATTTTTATATGTATCCATTTCATGTATTCATAACTATGTTCATATTATCTTGTAAGTGATTGACAAATCAAATAAATAAAATAAATAAGACAGTTTGGTGATGCAATTAAGGCATCAGGCTAGAAATCTAGAGGCTCTGAGTTCTAGTCCTGGCTTAGGCACAAAGACATCTTTGGTAACCTTGGGGCAATAACTCTTTGCCCTAGGAAAGAAGCAGTGGCAAACCACTTCTAAAGAACCTTGTTATGAAAACTACAGGGATTTGTCCAATCAGTCTCCAAAATCTGATATGATTGAACAGAAGGGAAAAAAAGTTAAGATAAACTTGATGCAAATGACTGCTAACAATAGCTAAAGAACTGGCAACCATGATTTCAAGTGTTTGTGTATGGAGTAATAAGAATAGATAAATCATAAAATAATTCAAATGTAGACATTCTCAGATTGCACAAACTGATTATAAACAATGACATAATTGCCAAAACAATGTACTGGAATATCTATAAAAATTATGATATGCCAGTAATGAAAAAATTGATAAGAATGCATAGCTGAACTACCAAGTTTTCATCAATCTTAGAGTGTGAATATAATTACAGATTACTCTGATACATATATGATACATATGGTGATACATATTTATATTACATATAATAATCAAACTATTAATTTCTTTCCTTTTAAGGCAGAGAAATACTAATATTTTGCCACTCTTATCCCTGCAAAGTAATGTCTAGTATTGGATTTTACCAGTGTCCAACTAGACTTATTTTCCGTCTTCCTCTAATTTCATTCTAGGATCTTTTCTGATGCTCCATCTCCCTAATTCCTTCAGCAATGCAAGGCTCATTCTGGGATCATTACCCAGGGAAATGTCACCTAGGAGTGATACAGTATAAGGCCAAACCATCCACCAGATCCTCAAAGAAAGTCCCAGTCATTTTCTGGAATCCCACTAATTTCATCAATTACCTGTTGCAGGCCCATCTCAATGCAGGGAGGGTGAGGGAGTCAAAAAGCAATTAGATAGTGATAAATCTATAGTGTTGGACTAATGTTGATATATTACATTGTCAGATCACATCTCAATCACCCAAGACAAAGAACAGATTACATGTGCAGCCTCTGATATGTATACAGCTGTCAATAAATTGTGAAGGGTCCATGATTGCAGGGCAGGTCATGAACACTTGAAGCACCCCAGACTTAGTCCCCAGGTGGCAGATTAAAATCTACAAGGAGCAATGGTCTTGGGAACTCTATTTCAGTCCAGCAACAGAATCTAGCAGTTCAGGTAGGGATGCAGAAAGAATGGTATACTATCAGCAGTTCCAACTATTATCTTAATATAGAGCACCAGTTATCTGCAGAGCAGAGTTCTTGAAAGCCTGTAACCACTCATAGATTATAGAGCAACCTGGACTTCCGGTTTGAAGGGCTTTGGCGACAGACAGAAATCCGCGATCGTGTGCAGTTTCTGTCTGGGCTTGCTGCTGGAGTGCCCCGAGCCGGCTGGTTTCGGGGCTAAGCCACCCCATAGAGGTGGTGAAGAGTGGGGAGACCACCAGCAGGGTCGAGGAGAGCTGCATCTCTCCTCAGCTGGCCATTACTCCCTTTCCTGAAGGTGGTTGCAGCAGTGGTCAGAAATGGCCACCACAAAGAAGAACTCAACCGGAAAAGAATGTGCAGGAGGAAGATAAGAAGTGAAAGTTTTGGCTGACCGGGTTAAATTGTAAAAGCAACAACCAAGGTACCCTGGAATTTAAACTTACAAAAAAATAACATCGCTCCCAAAGAAGAGTCGGAAGCAGCGAAGGAAAGTGAAAAGAGAAAGGTTTGTCTTTTTTTTCTTCTCTCTCCTTCCCTATACTGACAACTAAGAGACTTAAATAAGAAATCGGAAAAATCCGCTTTGACATCAATAGGCAACTAAGCTGAAAATAAAACAAAATGCCAAAAGGATAATAAGATTTCTGGACATTAAAAACTTTCTTTTTCATAAGCAGTAAGGGAGAGAAAAAGAATAAGGGCAGGATCTGGAAGAGGGAGGAGACTGCCTGGAATTAAAAAGAATTTAAAGTAAAACTTCAACAAGACTTCTAAAAGATACATTTTAACTGAAACTTTGCAACTAAATAGTAATCCCAGGAAAAGAAAGTGAAAAAAAAGAGCAAAAAAGAAACAGCTTGCGTGTATTTGGATTATTTGGTGATCTTTGGATTTTTGGTTATTATATTTGAATGACTAAAATCAATCGGGTGGTTGTTTAAAAATTTATACAATGGCACCATTTCTGGATGAATTGAAAATGGACATTAAAAAGTACAAAGAAGATGCACAAGAAGGGAAGGGTTCTTTTGGCTTCATTTTTCAATTCTTAGAAATGGAGATTTGGAACTATGAGAAACAACAAGAAAAGACTGCAAAACAAGAAGACTGGGACAAAGAAGAAGCCATCTTTAATGAACAAGTAATTTTATGTGGGGAAGAAAAAAGAAAGGGGGGAAAGAGAATGGAGAATTTAAGACTTAAAAAAACAACCAAAGAAAATAAAAATAATTCAAAAAATAAGTATAATACCGGAAAGCAACAGAAAAGGGGAATACAGAAGAGAGAAATAGAGGTAGAGAGACAAGGGGGTAAAAAGGGGAGAGAGAAGAAGAGAGGGAAGAAGGAAAGGAAAAGAAGTTACAAAGGACCGGAGCAAGATATAGAGAAACAGGACCTATTTAGGGATAATGGGTGAAAATCTAACTGAAAAAGGGATTCTGTAAAGGTACATAAGATTGTATTGTTATATTAGTAATAGAAATAACTTTAGAGAATTGGAAACAATGTATGATTAAAATGAGGGATAAAATAGTGTAATTTAGTGAAATGTTTGTGAATAAAATAAGTGAAATAAAATAAATGAGAAAATTGAATTAGGAAGGAACGGGAACATTTTAATTAGTTAATGTTTTATAAAAAAGAAGTGAGGGGGGGATTAACTATGGAAAGCTTATAATTGTTCCCATAGAAGTATGATATTTAATAGAAAAGTAATGTTAAAGATGTTAAGACTTTAATGAATATTAATATTAATGATAGAATTGACTTGGAATGGAATGTTGTTTTAATTATATACATTTATAATTTTTTTCTTTTTTTAAGAATACAGTGTGTATTTTAAGAATGTACCAAGTAGAATCCGAATGGAAGTTATGTATAATATTGAATGTTACAACTTTAGGGAAAAGATATAAAGGCGTCATACTCCAATCAGTAACTACAGGAGAAATTTTGTTTAATGAGAAAAGATAATAGATAATTGAAACAGGACTGACAAAAAATATAAATACAATGATTTGAATTGAGATGAGATAATTAAAATAAAATTGAGAAAATTAAAAGAGGCGAGAAGCTATGCAGAAAATGTAAAATAGTAATAAGATATGGAATAGAACAGTGGTCCCCAACCTTTTTTGTACCAGGGACCAGTTTCACACAGAAACACTTTTTCAAGGATGAGGGGGGGGAGGGGGAGGAGTCCGAGTTTGGTGGTTTGCTTGCAGACGTTTCATTACCTGACTAGATAACATCTGATGTTGTTACCTAGTCGGGTAATAAAACGTCTGCCAGCAAACCACCAAGTTCAGGGAGCGCCAATGCCTCCTCATTGCAACCCTGAGCGACAGATATTCTCTTCTATTGGGACATTTAAAACGGAGGGTTTCAGCTGCAGATTCAGGAACTGCGCCGGGCTGAGGAGCACCTTCAAAACTGAGCGCTGGGCGGCGGCGGCCCGCGGCTGTCTCCGCGGCTCAGGACAAGTCCCTGCAGGATGGCTGAGAAGCCTGCCTCTCAGCCCTGCCTCCCTCAGCCTCATCCCTCAGGTGTCTCCCTCCCTCCCTCCCTCAGCCTCATCCCTCAGGTGTCTCCCTCCCTCCCTCAGCCTTATCCCTCAGGTGTCTGCCTCGTTCCTCTCTCAGTCGCTCTCTCGCTCCTCCACCAGCCCAGGAAGAAACTGCTTCAAAGAAGCCAGCAGGGTGGCTTTTCCTGTCGGCACAGCTCCTCCAAAGCGCCCGTTCACCCCCACCCCGCCGCCCGCGGTTCAGTCCAGTGCTCCGTTCTGCCTGCCTGCCTGCCTTTGTTTCTGGTTGTTTCGGAGCAGCTTCGGCTGAGTAAAAGAGGCGAATAATTATTATTCTCAGCCAAAGCTACTCTGAAACAACCAGAAACGAAGGCAGGCAGGCAGGCAGGCAGAATGGAGCACTGGATTGAACCGCGGGTGGCGGGGTGGGGGTCAACGGGCACTTCGGAGGAGCTGCGCCGACAGGAAAAGCCACCCTGCCGGCTTCTTTGAAGCAGTTTTTTCCTGGGCTGGTGGAGGAGTGAGAGAGTGACTGAGAGAGGAACGAGGCAGGAGGAAACCGAAGCCGCTGAGCCGGAGAGCAGGACAGGCTTTGGTTGCTTCCTCCCTCCCCTTTTATTTGTGTCCTCGATCCCTGATCCCAGCAGCATTCACTGAAGACGAAGAAAGCCGCATTTTAATTTTATTTTTATTTTCTTTGCGGCCCGGTACCAAATGATCCACGGACCAGTACTGGTCCGCGGCCCGGTGGTTGGAGACCCCTGGAATAGAATATAAAAATGAGCATGAACCTGAATTTCTGTCTGTACGAAGAAATGTAACCCGGGATTATGCTGCTTTCAAAAAAGATGTTTTATTGGGTTTTTTTTTCTCTTTGTGAAAACTCAAATAAAATTTACAACAACAAAAAAAAAGATTATAGCAGCAACCTCTTTTCCATTTCCTGGGCTCTTGGCTGGTGGATACATTTTTAAGAGGGGTCCGCCGTGCCTCCCTCCTCCAAAGTAAGATCATGGGTAAGGAGCAGCTTTGCTCCAAAGCAACTTGGCAATCAGAAACATCAATGGCAATTGACATCAATGTCCACTGTGGATCTAGTTGCCAGACCTTGAAGGTAGAAGCCAAGGACTGCTTGTGACCTGTTCCCCCCGCCCAGTGCTTTATTCATCTCCATGTTGGATTGCTGTAATTCATTTGATATGGGACTGCCTTTGAAAAAGAAATCAGAATCTAATCCAGAATAAGAGTTACACCAAACTATCAATCTTAATCACAGAATAATGTAAGATATATATTTAATGGTGTGATACATTCGTTTTTTTTCTTCCCTCTGTATTGCATTAGGTTCATCAGGAAAGCGTACATATGATTGAAGTAACAAGCAGATTGATTAATGAAACTGTAGCCAATCACCCAGAATGGGCCAAGTAAGTAATGCCATAACTGATAGGATATGATTATTCTCTTCATTTTGATATTGATTATGATTGTGCTTGGGTATGGAAAATGTGAGAAAGAGCCTGTAATTTATTTTTGGCTTATTGTTGAATTTTGGAAGCATCTGAAACTAATAAGATATTGGCTTTAATGAGAAGAATGTTGCTAGATTGAGAAATACATGTAAAAACTCACCACAATCCCCAAATCATTCTGGAAACTTTTGATACTGCCTCAATATCAAATTACTATCTTACCACTTTGTTATATCAAGTTCAAAATTCATGTGCTTAGAATTCCTAATTATACAGGGATAATTTTCTATAAATTAAATTATTTAAATTCTTCCTTGAATCCCAAAACAGAAAGATTATTTCAGGTCAGATAATAATTCTAACTGATAAAGAATTCTGCTTTCATAGTAGTCAGTGATATGCCAACAGGCACTTTCAAGCTAATTTTTTTACAATTGCATTTTTGTATTTATATACCTAGAAGTCAAATCAATATAATACTTCACTGGAAGAAACCATTTTCCAGCATTTTATCCACTTTTTTGCACCATATAGCAGGGTGATTTGCAGCATATCTTACACATGAACACAGTACCTGTTTGCTCTTCCTTAAATCAGATGTTTTGTTCAGAAAATGCCAACAGATTTTGGCATTTGATCCACCCAGACATGATCAAGCCAGTTTTTTCTCATTAAATCTGTTTTGCTATATATTGTTATATTTCATTTTCTGAACTGAAAAGTTCTATCTTTTCTCACAACCACATTGTTTCAGTCTTTTTATCATTTTGACTCTCCTTTCCTGTACTTTGACACCTCTGCAGTATCAATTTTGAGGTGCATACAGGACAGCTACATAGAATTTACGGAATATAAATTACTTTAGGAGTTCGTTATTTTTGTACTTTTGTACTTGTGGTTTAATTTTTGTGGAATTTGAATTGTTATATAATAAAGCATTTTAATCTCCAGATATAAGGGCTACAATAGAAATGAACTAATAGAAAATACTCTAAATCTAAGTGGAGTTGTACTTTTTGATTTATTTAAGCATTATGATATTTGCACTTTCTAAATCTTTTCTGATTGTTCTCAAACATATATCACCTTTATGCTATAGCCTTATAATGAATCAATCTTTTCCTGGAACTATTTAAACTACTCAGGATGCATGTGAGCAAACATTGTTTAACAAAGGTAATAGCTAAAATAAATGAGATGCTCTCAGCCAAGAGGTGTCTTTCAAAATATTCTGTCTCTACTTAAACATAACTATCCCATGCTTAATTAGTTTCTTAATTAGAATATTATAAGGTGCTATTTGAAATGTTTTACTGAAATCAAAGCATTTATATTATTTCCAGAGTCAATTACAAAGTTAACCAATCTAAAATTGAGAAAAATTATCCTGGAAATACAAATCATTGGTGACTTTACATTGTTTTCTAAGTATTTAAAAATGAATATTGTCTACTCTAAAATCTTCCATGACAGAGAACTAAAATTCTTAAACACTATAAATTACATTGCACTGGAGCAATTTATGATTGATCTAACAAGGGAGTATTCAGGACTTATTAAGAGAAATGCATGTAGTCGACTTGAATGAGAATAGTGACCATAATAAGGTAAAATTCAACATTTAGAGACACAATAATCTATGAAAGGATTGGTGAAAAGGAAATTTAAAGTGATGGTCGTAAGGATATGCTCCCTCCATACTGTTTGGCTGTTGCTTATCAACATAACAGTAAAGGGTCAGATAGAATGTATTCCTGAAATTATGCAAATGACTTCATAGTCTAAAAACAGGCCTACATGGTTTATTAGCATTGTAAAGGAAGCTATTAAGGACATAAAAGTATTATTTAGAAAGTAGATTAGTTGAAAAAAAATTCAAAGAAAGAGTGAATTTTAAAGAGAGAGTCAAAAAATTTTTTTGAGTATATTGCTAAAATTGAAGACAGATAATAAAACATTTTTCAACTACAAGCTAACCAGCCATTGGGTTCTTGGATGAAGAAATTGTCAAAGCAGAAAAGGAAATTGCATTTTCTCTTCCAGAATCCACATCTTTTTGCAAAAGAGAAAATTCCAGCAAAGCCAGCAGGGTCTAGGATAATTGGCCATAACATATGGCTTTGGCCACTCTGACTTCCTTACTACAGCCAGCCCACTGAAGGTGTTCATCTTGCCCCATCACTGGCAATTTGCCAAGGGACACTTGTACCTGGCCAATTTGTTGGATGGGACAATTAACTGTGTGTCCCTGAAGCCAATCCACACAACAGGAGTGGACCATTGCGTTCCCATTGGATGCAATCCCACTTGCTTAGCTTCCTGAAATGCTTGAATTCCCTCTCCAGCATTTGAAGTGGGTTGCAGATGGAATGGAAGGAAAGACTTTTTTTGCCTTGTTGAAAAATTTCTCAGAGTTCTTGCCCGGTGTGGAGGTTGTGTGAGGTATAGGGGCGAGAGAAAACATTGTGGGGAATTAAGGGGGGCTGCACACTCTTCAGCAAGAAATGGGTTTCAGTGGATTTTAATTATCTCCATTGAAATTCCATTGCAGCATCAAAGAAAGCTAACCCTAGGGGGTATTTGCTTTGCATTCATATGATATATGCTACCCAACAAAGGAGACTCCTTTGGCATTTGCACGATACACTTTAGTCTCAAAAAGATAAACTGGGCAGCAAATGGAGGACAGTGGGACGGGGGTTCCACAACAAGCGGGTGAATTTCAAGACTCCAGGTTTGGACAGGCAGCTGGGATGGAGGAATGAGAGAAAGAAAGAAGGATATTTTTTTCTTTTAAAGTTATTTTAATTTTTTAAATTTTTTAAACATTTCTTTAAAATATATTTTTTAGATATTTTTTGAAAAGATAATTTTTAGGGTTCTTTAAAGATATTTAGATTTTTTAAAATGTTTTTAAAGATTTTTTTCAAAGGATTTTAAAATAAAAAGTCCTAATTGTGAGGAATTGTTGTAAGCACTTTATTGAGTCCCATTGCAACTTCGAATAGTCATCCAAGTAACTTCTTCAGTTAAAATGAAAATAAAAATTAACCATGTCAACAGCATATAAAGAAAACTTATATAAGATGTTTTACAGATGGCATCTTGCATTGGCAAGACTGGCAAAGATGTTCAAAGATAAATCAGCTAAGTGTTGGAAATGCCATCAGACAACTGGAACATATCACATGTGGTGGTCATGTGTAGAAGCCAAGAGATATTGGACAAAAGTACATACATGATTGAAAAAGATGATAAAGCAACATATAGACTTAAAATCTGAAATATTTTTGTTAGGGATGATATCTGAAAGTTATAGCAAACAAAAGATATATGTAATTATTCTTAATTGTAGCTAGAATAGTATTTGCTCAAAACAGGAAAAGTGAAAAGATTCCCATAAAAGAGAATGTGATCAAGAAAATATTAGAATGTGCAGAAATGAATACATTAACACTGCAATTAAAGAAAAAGAGCACACTGAATATTGTAAGATTTAGGAATTATTTTATCAGTGGTTGAAAAAAGAATGGAAGAAATTAAATATATGAACATAGAATATATATAGATAGAACATATGTGAATATAGAGGGGAAGGAGTTAAGAAGGGGATGGTTATAATGATAAAATATATCATGTATAGTAGTTAAAAATAAGAATATAATTATTGTTTTTATGGTAAGGGAGTCGTATCAATCATAAATGTTCATTGCACAAGATATTTGTACCCAGATGACACACTGTTTAAAGGAAAGATGTCATGTTTGTAAAAATAAAATAAAAATTTTAAATTAAAGAAAAGATGATTCCATTTTAATGCAGTAAGTAAAGAGAAACTAAAAAGCCTTTTGATGAGGGTGAAAGAGGAGAGTGCAAAAGTTGGCTTGAAACTCAACATTAAAAAACTAGGTCCCACCACTTCCTGGCAGGAGGGGAAGAAATGGAAGCAGTGACAGATATTATTTTCTTGGGCTCCAAGATCACTGCAGGCGCTGACTGTAGTCATGAAATTAAAAGACTTTTCTTTGCAGGGAAAGCTATGGCAAACCTAGACAGCATATTAAAAGGCAGATACATCACCTTGCCAACAAAGATCCATGTAATCAAATCTATGGCTTTCCCAGTAGTAATGTATGGTTGTGAGAACTGGATCATAAGGAAGACTGAAACCGAAGAATCGATGCTTTCAAACTGTGTGTTGGAGAAGACTCTTGAAAGTCTCTTGGATTGCAAGGAGATTAAATCAGTCAATCCTAAAAGAAATTAACTTTGATTTTTCTTTGGAAGCATAATAGTGAAGCTGAAACTCAAATACTTTGACCACCAAATGAGAAAAAAGGACTGATTGGAAAAGACCCTGATGTTGGGAAAGATAGAAGGCAAAAGGAAAAGAGGATGACAGCTAATGAGATGGTTAGATAGTGTCATTGACACAGTGGCCATGGGTTTGAGCAGACTCTGGAAGAGAGTGACAGACAGGGTCTTGATGTGCTATGGTCCATGGGGTCACAAAGAGTTAAACGCTACTTAGCAAGTGACAAACAAAAATAATGTTACAGAAGAACATACTGAATAAGGTTGAAATTGATGTAAATGTAGATTTAAACATAACAAAGTTACAGAATTATTATTCTTGTAACTTGTCAAGTTTAAATCCACATTTACATCAATTTCAGTCTTATAAATAATACACTGGATATACAGATGAAACTAATTAATGTTTTAATACTTAAAAGAGACATACAAATATCAAACTAGAAGAGTGATTTAGATAACTTTTTTAAAATTGAATTTATGAAAGAGATTTGTTCAAGATTTGAAAATTCACAGAGAAGAGATCAAAAAAGAAAGAAAGAAAAATCAAGTACCAGGACATTGTTTGAAGGAACTAAAAGCCAGTGTTTTTAAAAGGAAAGAAATATAGAGTTGGCTTATTTAATGAAGGTTATCTCTGGTAGCCCTTAATGGACTTTTGATGACTAGGAACGAATAACAAGGCTTTAAGAAATATGGAAAGAAGAGAGCATTGCTGTTTTAAGAGATGTGATAAGTTATGAAGGGGGAAGTTACTTTTTAATATTTTTCTTCTTTTTTTATATATTTTTTTTGCACTTCTATATTTTTAGTTTTATATTTTTATAGTTTGTATTAGTTTTTATTTTTCCTAAGTAATGTTTAATAAAATTATTATAAAAAAGAGAAAAAGGTGCTTATGGTTTATGAGTTTGTAGATTAGAAAAAAAAGCTTATAGAAAGAGGGAAATTATTATGTAACCTTAAAGAGAGAGGGTAAAATATAAATTTATTTATAATTGCTGTTAAAAAGACGGGAAGCTGCTTTTCTATAATCCTTTTTCATTTCTTTTTCTAATTTTCTTAGGTATTTACTATTGTTATTTTCTTTATTTCTTTTTTAACATTTGCATTATCTTCTTAAAAATGTTTTCAGTAAAAATTATATTTACAATGGGAGGCTCTGGTCCTGAAAAATCCATATGGAAATTTGGTATTTCACATTATTCTGCCATTGTTTGAAAAATATGAATATATTTCAGACAAATAACAAGGCCAAGAATTTTTTGTAGTAGCATTTCAATTGCTACTGTTCAATATGCTGATCTTTCAGAAAAACTTAAAAATCTGAATGTATGCTATTTGGCATGAGAAACTACATTTAAACAACTTCATTGTTCCTATTAAAAGTACCAAGTCGTCTATCCTAATTTATTTATAGAATATACATGCAATTAGAATATATGCAACCATAATGCATTTTTTACATTTTTATTTCTTAATTAGTTGGCTTCCTGAAGCTCAAGTCATTCAGAAGGCTTTGAATTCAGCTGCTACTAATGTTTATCAGTATGGGCGAGAATGGATAACGCATAAGGTAATGATAAGATTCCTCTTTGGAGATTAATGTTTTGCTGTTTCTTACTTTCTTTTCAAAAAGATTCATGACTGCAAAAATAACCTTTGATTTATATTTAATATTGACATTTTTTGCAAATAGTTTGTCTTTAACTAAGCATTAATAAAAATACATTTTGTGCTATTCATCGAATTCCATAGCAGTCTGCAAAATAAAACTATAAAAAGTATGTTAAAATAGATATATCAAATTATCTGGATTAAAAACATAAACTTGCAGTTATTAAACTATAATTTGTAAACGTTAAATAAGCTTTTAATTCTCCTATCCCCTCTAATAACATAATAGGATCAGGTTTTAACAGTTATTTGTTTACCTACTAAGTCCAATAAAAACTGGTACAAGCATATTTGGAAAATGTAGATTAGTCCTTACTAAGCAGTATTAGCTGAGGCAAAAAAACACACCAACCAGTTGGTTCTGAAATAAAATAGTGCAGTTCTGGATTTGATAATCTAAATTCTGTTACTTTTCTTGTTCCTTTTAAATACATTCTGATTACTGTCATGATTTAATTATACCAACCAAAGTCGTAACTATTTAAGTTATTATTGCTACAATTTAATATACTATTTAAATGCTATGTAATGTTTTCAAACTGAATCACAATATAAAAAAAACTCTCAATAAATAAAGGTCATTTAAAATATATGTGTGTGTGTGTGTGTGTGTGTGTGTGTGTGCGCGCGCACATACACACACAAGTTAGAAATGTTGAAAAATAGATTTACAAATTATATATGTATATATATACTTGTAAATCTATTTTTTTCAACATTTGCAATATTCCTAACAAGTGAATGAATAAATAGTATGGACATTTTTCTATCTAAAATAGTTTCTTTGATTAATCGATATTTAGTAAATATGAAATAATTGGTCAATGAATATGTTTCTTTTCAAATATTTTGACACATTTTTAATATTTTATAGCTTGATAAAATATTAGGAGAAAAAGTAAATAATACTGCTGTGATTGAAAAACAAGTTCTGGAGCTTTGGGACAGACTATATCATACTTGGTTTGCAAAAGTAAGTATCTTTTTTATATTGCCAGTATATTGATCCAAGATAAATTGTAGCATATTTTATTAATAGTTACAAAGATAAATTCCATCTGATATGATTATGTAAATATCTCTCTCAAGATGCATGATTCTGTTAAGGACCTGGGTACTTCAAATGAAAGGATTAAGGAAGTATGGGCTACTGTGACATCTGAAGAGTGCCTAACAATTAATCAATTTTACATTGATTTACCAATACACATGACAATATATACTGTATTATAACAACTGATGTTGGTGACTAGATAAACCTATTTCTTTCTCTTTCCTTGGGATAGTCTAACTACAAAAATCACATACTATAAACATGAATCTATATAAATATTTGTATTTGAATGCATTCTGTGTGGATGTGTCTTGCTTGGTTTGGAAGCTATAGAATGTGTGACCAAGTTGCTGAATTACTTTTTATATGTAAGGTCCTAAAGAACTTGAGATTGGAATTTCTGACCTATTGTCCTTGTCACTACAAATCAGGACAATTGCTAAAATAATCTAAAGTGGTCCTGATACAACAAAAAAAACCTCATATATCATCTGGCAGTTATTTGCAGACAGGTCGTCTTGAATAGAGATGACTTCACTTTGAAACACTGTCCCTTTTGCTGACATTTCTGCAGTTCTGTTTTGCTCTCAGATTCATGAGTCTAGAACAATTCCTCCTGACGACATAATCATGTCCATTTCACCATGGCTTTTCCAGCCATGCTGACCCACCCCAGCTCTTCATCCAGTGATATACCACTGGCATTACAACTCCACCGCTTCTGCAAAGCTGCATAGTTGAGGCCATTGCACCGCGACACAGATCTTCACAGCAAATTCCTTCCCCAGGACAATTAAACACTGCCCACTGGCAAAGGGCGCAGGGAGCATCAGCAACTTCAGGGGCAGCCAGCAGCATTCAAATGGTGGGCAGAAGGTGCAGGTGCAATTTTGGGAATGGACCCAGTTTAGAGATGAGGCAGACAGTCAGATTTGGCTAAACAAAGGTATTTTTAAAAAGTTCCATGCCTCAACATAATTTGCGGGATCGTTATTGTCTCATTGAGCTTTTTAAAGAGAAATTCAGCTAAGGGCTGCATTGTCCCCTACCCTCCTTTCTTAGTTTCAGACAATGTTCAGCCATTTCTTAGTCTGTGAAACTTGATCAGGAACGAAAGAACAAAAAAGAGATGTTTTCTATGTTTCTCTATATTTCAATCCCAGGTTTAAGGAAAAATTCAATAGATATTTTCCCTGTTCAAAAAGTATAGAAATCCTGTTGTGAGACCCTAAAAACTCCCCACCCCCAGCAATGCCTTCCTTGCTTCCATATGTTGAGGACAGAGGTTTTAAGAACAACATATATAAAAAAGGGAAAAAGAAAAGAAAAAACAATTCAACCCCAGCAAGGAGTTGAAATAAATCAGCATTCAACCACTAATCAACTTTTAAAGCAGAAAATGTTTGTTTCAGAAAATGAAACAAAAAGTTCAAAAAGTGAAAGTTAATGTCCATGTGTGCTTAGGAAAAGGAAACTACTGACACAAAGATATATATTGCCTATATACACCTATTAGCTTTGATTTCTTCCAGAGGGGATTGGAATCTTCAGGACCCTCCTTCCCAACTGCGTCCACAATTGTCCAGAAGCCTTCTTGGGTCATTCCAAAATGCTTCCATTCAAACTTAGGGAACAGTACTGCTAAACAACCAGTTTTGGCAGTAAAATTAACAGATCATTGATAAGAGGAAAAGAAGTTCTTACCGTGCAGCAGCCATTTTGGGAGGAAGTCCAGCCCCTCAAATTCTTCATGAATTTTTAGATTGTTCATGAATCCAGGCATTTATTATATGAAAATAATTTAATGAATACTATTTTAATAGTTCTATAAATCATCATTATCATAATAACAGTGACTCCTCGTCAAACCCGGGGGTCAATAATGATCACTTTGAGACATTATGCTATAAAGTGTGATATAATTTCTACTGAGATCTTCTAATCTAGGCTAATCCAATTTTTGTTTGAAAAGTACTTTGTTCCTTTTGTCTTGTAAAATTCAATACATGAAATGTTTTATAATATTTTGCTTTTGTTTTATAGAATACAACTCATTCTGGACAACAAAAAAGTCACAAAAAGCATTTAAATCGTGAGCATAGTTGGACAAGTGACATGCTTGATTGGCAGGATATTGCTTCTTTTATTCATGAGAATATTGAAACATTTCTTTCGGTATATGGTTTTTGTAATAAATATAACAGGAAATACTAATTTGTAATTTCATTCATTTTAACAAAAATAAAAGCAGATAGGCATAGAATTGTAGTAACACATTGGGTCGTCCTTTTAAACATACTTCATTTATCTTAACAGAGAAACAGAATAACCGTGGGTGGCAAAATTCTTGGCCTCATTAAAATCAGCATCTGAAATTCATTTTTGGCTCTTCATCAAAATTTTGAAGTGCTGCTTGTTGTTCTTATAATATGTTTTCCTGTCTACTTATTTTTCTTCAGTTGCTGTTTTTCCTGACTCCTGTGAATTCCTAGCCTTCAATACCCTAAATTTGCTCCATCATTATCATTATTCTTTTTTAAACTATCTCTGTATTGACCTCCTTCTACATGCAAGCTATTCTCTGTCACATATAATTACATATGTACGTGCCTTTGAGTCAGATACAGCAAAAATGAAAAAGCATAAAAACAATATGGAAATAGCATAAAGGGAAGGGTGATAGTAGTTATATTTACTATAATATGTAGGTCTTAACACTTTTTAAAAAGTTAAAAAGAGTAGACTACAGGGGAAACTTGAAAAATTAGAATATCGTGCAAAAGTTAATTTATTTCAGTAATGCAACTTAAAAGGTGAAACCGTGATTTGTCATAATTGAGATGATTATGTCTTACAGCTCATGAAAACCCCAAATCCACAATCTCAAAAAATTAGAATATTGTGAAAAAGGTTCAATATTCTAAGCTCAAAGTGTCCCACTCTAATCAGCTAATTAAGCCATAACACCTGCAAAGCGTTTCTTTAAATGGTCTCTCAGTCTGGTTCAGTAGGAAGCACAATCATGGGAAAGACTGCTGCCCTGACTGTTGTCCAGAAAACTATCATTGACACCTTCCATAAGGTTGTCAGCCTCAAAAAGTGATTGCAAAAGAAGTTGGATGTTCCCAAAGTGCTGTATCAAAGCACATTAATAGAAAGTTATGTGGAAGGGAAAAGTGTGGAAGGAAAAAGGTGCACAAGCAGCAGGGATGACCGCAGCCTGGAGAGGATTGTCAGGAAAAGGTCATTCAAAAGTGTTGGGGACTTTCACAAGGAGTGGACTGAGGCTGGAGTCAGTGCATCAAGAGCCACCATACACAGATGGATCCTGGACATGGGCTTCATAGGTCATATTCCTCTTGTCAAGCCGCTCCTGAACAACAAAAAACATCAGAAGTGTCTTATCTGGGCTAAAGAAGAGTGGAGAAAGAATGGAGAGGCACACACTGCAAGTCCAGTGTGTGGATTTCAAGCACAACACTGCTTGAAGTCCAGTGTGAAGTTTCCACAGTCTGTGTTGATTTGGGGGGAGCCATGTCATCTGCTGATGTTGGTCCACTGTCCTTCATTAAGTCCAGGGTCAACGCAGCCATCTACCAGGAGATTTTGGAGCACTTCATGCTTCCTTCTGCAGACGAGCTTTATGGGGATGCTGATTTCATTTTCCAGCGGGACTTGGCACCTGCCCACACTGCCAAAAGCACCAAAACCTGGTTCAGTGACTGTGGGATTACTGTGCTTGATTGGATAGCAAACTTGCCTGACCTGAACCCCATAGAGAATCTATGGGGCATTGCCAAGAGAAAGATGAGAGACATGAGACCGAACAATGCAGAAGAGCTGAAGGCCGCTAAGGAAGCATCCTGGTCTTCCATAACACCTCAGCAGTGCCACAGGCTGATAGTTTCCATGCCACACTGCATTGAGGCAGTAATTCCTGCAAAAGGGGCCCAAACCAAGTACTGAGTACATATGCATGCTTATACTTTTCAGAGGTCCGATATTGTTCATTGTACAATCCTTGTTTTATTGATTGCATGTAATATTCTAATCTTCTGAGGTTGTGGATTTGGGGTTTTCATGAGCTGTAAGACATAATCATCACAATTATAACAATCATGGCTTGAACTATCTTGCTTTGCATGTAATGAGTCTATCTCATATATTTGTTTCATCTTTAAGTTGCATTACTGAAATAAATGAACTTTTGCACGGTATTCTAATTTTTCGAATTTCCCTTGTATTTCCTTTACATGTCTAGATTATGAGCATGTGTAGTGAATCAGGAGAATCCCTATTTTAAATGGTGTATTCTGCTTCTGTTCTGCAAACCGAGCTGACCCCACTCTTGAACCTGAGGTCAAAGATAAATTGCTATAGAAAAAAACATTGTCTTTCTTTAAAATAAATACAGGGATAAAATTGCAATTTAAATGAATAATGATTAGGCCTATATGTTTAAAACATATTGTAATTTATGCAGGTATGCATATACTATTTACTAGTCTTGCCTTTAGGTTACAAATGCATAACTGCTTATGAATGGAAGACTGCTTAAGATACTGAATCCAATTTTCTGCTCAGTAAGTTAAACTATTTCAATAACAGATCATCCAGAATGGTTTCCCTCTTAGAGTCAATCAAAGTATGTTTTCTTATAAGTTAAATGTATTATTCCATATCCTGTGCTGTATGATAATGCATCTAATTCTGCATCTTTTTATAGATCTTAGAATCCCTTTGGATAGTGATGAGTCATAATGTTACCCTTCTTTTCACCACAGTTACAACTTTGGTAACAGTCCTTTTCCACAGTAGCACTGCAGTTCTTAATTTTGTTCTTTCACTGGTAAGTATGACTACATTATTTGTATGGACTTAACATGATATTTATAGTGAGCAGAATATGTGGACACCTTTGGCCTGGATATCTAGTACAAATTCTCTTGTGACCTTTTTTGCAAAATTATGCATTAATAGCAAAATATGAGAAAAATAGGGTAGTTTCATACATTATAGGCTTTTAAGATATTTCTTTATTTATTTGTATTCTGCCTTTATTATTTTTACAAATAATTCAAGACAGCAAACATATCCAATAGACCTTTTTCCTCCTATTTTCCCCACAACAATCTTGTGAGATGGATTGGATTGGAAAAGAGTGACTGGCACATATGATTCCTTTATTATTCCATTCATTTTGTGTACTTGGAATGCAAAAGTGCACTATGTTATTTATCTCAGGCAGAAAAATATTTGAGGTAGTGTAAATTCCTCCACTGCAATATAAGTATTGTTACCTCAAAATGCTATGCATCTGCTGTACTAGAAGCTCTATTTTTTCTCCACATAGATAGACATTCATTCTAATCCTTATTGTGGTCTTTGACTAGACAACCTGTAACACATTGGGTCATCCTTTTAAAGATACTTCATTTATCTTAACAGAGAAACAGAATAACCGTGGTGGCAAAAAAAAAAAAACAGTGGCAGTGTGAGCAACTTCCAATGTCTTGCAAGCTTCTTTAGTTACTTGGAAATCATGCTTGTCACTTTTCTGGGAGGAGAGGATCAAAGGAATGACCACAGAAGGCAAAAAAACAGAGGGAGAATGAGTGATTTCTGACTTTCTGATGTCTTCCCCAATGACTTTGCTTGTAGGAAGCAGGCAGGAAATTTGGAAATCACTCATCATTACCCCTGACTGACTGGATGAACTGCCTGCCACTTTGCTGGGGAAAAGGGTGAACAGAGAACCACTGATGTAAGGAAAATTGCACTCCCATTCTTCATCCCAGCATGTCTCCAAGGGCTTCCTCCCTTCAGGGACGAAGTGGGCTTACCCATCGCCTGCCAGTGCTCTCCAGTAGCCATCTCACCAGCAGCCACCCTTTCTCATCTTTCCCTCACTGGCTACCACCATTAAAAGGTTTCAAATATCAAGCCAATTGGGTGCAGGAACCAGAGAGAGATGGAAAAGAGGGTGTGGATATACCCAATCCATTTTCTTTATGCCACACACCAGTGGCTTTCTGAAAAGATTAGTCAGAAGGCACAGTTGTGCTGTAGCAGACACAATTTTGTCAAATTTTATCCCAAAGGAGCAATGGATTTTGGATTTTGGATGTATTCTGTAAGTTGAGGTATCTTGGTTCAAAACTTGTTCTGTGGTGCACCTTTTTGCCCAGTTGAAGGTTGTAAACAAACAGGCATAAGAGCTTTAGTAGTATATACATTGTACACTACAGTCCATGTCAAATAGCTTTTGAAAATATATAAAATATATAAATATATAAAATAAATAAAATATGAATTTAGAAACATGATGCTCACATTATCTGTATCCTTCTCTGATTTTAATAGAGAGTTAAACACTTATTCATTTGGAAAGATGGTATTTTCAAAGTCCAAAGAAATGGGGTGCCAAGAAATATTCTATCTCATTGTGCTCTCTGAACAGCTCTGACCAAGATTCCATCTAAAGGAAAGAGGCAATGTGGGGAAAACAGTTTCTGATAATGTGTTTTAGAAATTATTTATTTGCTGGAAGTAGATTTGCTTCTCCTTCATTTTTCTTTCTTTCACAATACTCTGAATTTTGAGTCCTGTTTTCTTCTCTTTTACAGGTGATATTCCTGACCACATTATTCTACCTTTTAAGTTCCAGTGATGAATACTATAAGCCAGTGAAGTGGGTGATCAATTTGATCCCTTTGTTGCAGTCTGATGCATCTTCAAACATAATCAGTGAATCTGTGGAGGAAGCCATAAGGTACAGTAGTTAATGGAATTATGCATGGCTTGCAACAATTTTTCCTGCCTATTTATAAAAATGCTTAAAAAATTTCATTAGTACAAAAATCCTAGACTGAAGCCAGAGACATCAAAACAACTTTTTGTTCCCCTATGAGCTAATAGTGGGCATTTCAAATTTTGTCTGAAGAAATTCTAAAAAGTTGTTTCTTAGAATAGTTGTTTTTTATACTTAGACTGACATTATAGGCTATATTTAATGGCTGAATGTAATCATTAATGTATTCTTTATATTTAATTTTAGTCCCATTTTTTCAGTGTGCCCCAATTCATTCCCAATTTAAAAGCATGCTCATTTTCTTCCAAAGCAGTCCCCTTTGTGTATATTCAGTCTATAGATTTAATGAATAGGAAGAAACTGTTACTCCTTTACCAACTTGGAGCCATGTTATATCTAAACTATGTTTTCTTGTCCTATATATAAATTATTTCTCATGAGTATAGTGAGATCAATCAATTAATCAGAATACAGCTGGAAGGGACCTTGAAGGTCTTCTATTCCAGCCCCCTGCTCAAGCAGGATACCCAATACCATTTCAGACAAGTGACTGTCCAGTGTCTTCCTAAAAATCTTCTTAGAAACCCTTAAAAACCTTAACCACATAATCTTACATTTTCTCATCTCCATTGTTTTTATTGGCATACCGACAGATGGCATGAACATCTCGGTGACAGTTTCTGCATATATGAGCACCACTGGTTTCCTTTAAACAGAACTACAGGTAGCAGAAATGAAAGCCTCTTCAGTAACCATGTCTTCACCATAACTTTTGTTTCTTCCATCATGGAATATAATCTCATCGATGTTTTGTGCAGTAGGCTCTCTCTTGCATAGGGTGATATGTTTCTTCTTGCATTGCTTGAATGTTTTATATTATTTTTTCTAGTTGTTCCTTAGTGTGTTTATCTTGTAAAACATCATGAGATAGGGAAGATATTGTGAGCTCCACTAGCTTTGTGGCCAAAGAGAGCTCCATATGGTGTTCTCTTAATCCCAGAATGAAAGGCCCTGTTTTCATAAATTGGATGAAATGTGGTTCTCATTCTACTGGTTAGGCTTTTTTTATCCTGCATCCAAGTATACAGAATATTTTCAATGTTCCAAAAAGCTCTTTTGACACTATCCTGGTTTTGTGAGTAGCGAGACTTGTCATTGATGACCTTCAAAGTTGACCAATACTTCCTTAGGCTGCTCAACACATTATTAGCAAATTCCCTGCTGTTGCCAGATTGTAGAATCAATGGTGTATCAAGCAATGTAAAAATGTGGATGAAATTGTATGTTACTTCTGCTTTCTTTAACGTCAGAGCGTTGAGAACCACACACTTAGTTAGGCAATCTTGGCACACTATTATAAACTTGTATTCTCTGTCAGTATGGGGCTGAAGATGGATGAGATTGACTTGACAAAACTATAGGCTTTACCACATCTTTTTAAAAATCTTTTTTTTTCCTGGCACAGCTCACAAAGGTTCAGTATCATGACAAATAATGTTCATATGCTTGGGTGAAAGTTCTATCAAATCCTCCATGGCCAATGGCCAAATGAGCTTCATGAAGTATATTAAGTAATTCAAAGTCCATGATATAAAACTGGATAGCACTGATGTCTTCTCTACAGGATAAATCAACTTACTTTTGTTTTCTACCACAACATAGTGGTTTAGCAGCCAATAGTACTGTGGCTTCTTCTTAGTAGTAGGCTAAGTAGTCATCTTAGCCTTTTTCACATTGCTCACTAAATTTTGTAAATTAGTAAAACACAGTTTTTAGAACATTGGTTCATACTTTAGATAATTTTTCATAGAATCATCATTGCATGTCAACATGCTATGATTCTTGCCCAGACACTTACAGCTTGCTCTACCATTCTCATACAGCAAAGTATGGGCTAGTACCATGATAGCGAATCTATGGCACGCATGCCACAGATAGCACGCAGAGCCATTTGTGTGGGCTTGCACGCCCCAGCCAAACTTAACTGCACTGTGCACGTGTGTGCCTCCCAGCTGATTTTCGGCCCATTTGAGGCCATTTTCGCCCTCCCAGAGGCTCAAGAGAAGCCTCTGCAGCCTTGGGAGGCTGAAAAACGGGACTTCTGGAAATACCCAAAGTGCCCATTTTCAGCCTCTGGAGGGCCTCTGGAGCCCGGGGAAGGCCATTTTTGCCCTCCCGGGGGCTTGAGGGAGGAGGGCAAAAATGGCCTCCCCGGGATTCCAGAGGCCCTCCAGAGGCTGAAAACGGGCACTTCTGGTATTTCCAAAGGCCCATTTTTCAGCCTCCCAAAGCTCAAAAGGCTTGCCTTTTGCCATTGCATAGAATGCCTAGGAAATGTGTGAAATATTAAGTATTTCATACTTTGATGTTCATATTTTGGCATTCTATATATTTCCTCGGTATTCTCTAAAATGACTAATTTCACACATAGATGGTAACATACATGTACAACATTTAATTTATCGAAATGTGTATTATTGTTAGTGTAGTATAATCTTATTAGATCCAATGATTTATCACTGACGTTGAATAACTTTATTGTCACTTTAAATGTTAGTATAGCATAGATAATCTTTCCAGATCCAATGAATATGTGATTCATCCCAAGAAGTCTTGCCAAAGTAAAGCATACTCTGATAACTCATAAAGAGGAGCTCTTTTAAGTCTTTTCCTCCCACACAAACTACTTAATCTTTGCTTCCTCTTTTTTTTGCTCCTCTGGAATGAACTGCCTCCCTCCTGAGAATTTAGCTTACATATTCCACTATAGGAATTGATCAACCTGACTGACATCATGAACTGAGAAGAGTGACTAGCCCAATATTATCCAGCCAGCTTTCATGTTGAAGGTGGGATTAGAACTAACAGTCTCTTGGTTTCTAGCCTAGTGCCTTAAACATTAGACCAAACTGGCTCTCACCTTCAATTATTGTAAACTACAGGTGAAACTCAAAAAATTAGAATATTGTGCAAAAGTTCATTTATTTCAGTAATGCAACTTAAAAGGTGAAACTAATATATGAGATAGACTCATTACATGCAAAGCAAGATAGTTCAAGCTGTGATTTGTCATAATTGAGATGATTATGACATAATTGAGATGATTATGATTATTTCAGCTCATGAAACCCCCAAATCCACAATCTCAGAAAATTAAAATATTGTGAAAAGGTTCAATATTCTAGGCTCAAAGTGTCCCACTCTAATCAGCTAATTAAGCCATAACATCTGCATAGGGTTCCTGAGCCTTTAAATGGTCTCTCAGTCTGGTTCAGTAGGAAGCACAATCATGGGAAAGACTGCTGACCTGACAGTTGCGCAGAAAACCATCATTTGACACCCTCCATAAGGAGGGAAAGCCTCAAAAGGTAATTGCAAAAGAAGTTGGATGTTTCCAAAGTGCTGTATCAAAGCACATTAATCGAAAGTTATATGGAAGGGAAAAGTGTGGAAGAAAAAGTTGCACAAGCAGCAGGGTTGACCACAGTCTGGAGAGGATTGTCAGGAAAAGGCCATTCAAAAGTGTTGGGGACTTTCACAAGGAGTGGACTGAGGCTGGAGTCAGTGTATCAAGAGCCACCATACACAGATGGATCCTGGACATGGGCGTCAAATGTCGTATTTGTCAGAAGTGTCTTACCTGGGCTAAAGAAAAAAAGAACTGATCTGTTGCTCAGTGGTCCAAAGTCCTCTTTTTTGATGAGAGCAATGTTTGCATCTCATTTGGAAACTTAGGACCCAGAGTTTGGAGGAAGAATGGAGAGGCACACATTGCAAGATGCTTGAAGTCCAGTGTGAAGTTTCCACAGTCTGTTGATTTGGGGAGTCATGTCATCTGCAGGTGTTGGTCCACTGTGCTTTATTAAGTCCAAGGTCAACGCTGCCATCTACAGGAGATTTTGGAGCACTTCATGCTTCTTCTGCATACGAGCTTTATGGCGATGCTGACTTCATTTTCCAGCGGGACTTGGCACCTGCCCACACTGCCAAAAGCACCAAAACTTGGTTCAATGACTGTGGGATTACTGTGCTTGATTGGACAGCAAACTCGCCTGACCTGAACCCCATAGAGAATCTACGGGGCATTGCCAAGGTAAAGATGAGAGACATGAGATCGAACAATGCAGAAGAGCTGAAGGCCGCTATTGAAGCATCCTGGTCTTCCATAGCACCTCAGCAGTGCCACAGGCTGATAGCTTCCATGCCACGCCGCATTGAGGCAGTAATTGCTGCAAAAAGGCCCAAACCAAGTACTGAGTACATTTGCATGCTTATACTTTTCAGAGGTCTGATATTGTTCTATGTACAATCCTTGTTTTATTGATTGCATGTAATATTCTAATTTTCTGAGATTGTGGAATTGGAGTTTTCATGAGCTGTAAGCCATAATCATCGCAATTATGACACATCACGGCTTGAACTATCTTGCTTTGCATGTAATGGGTCTATCTCATATATTAGTTTCACCTTTTAAGTTGCATTACTGAAATAAATGAAATTTTGCACGATATTCTAATTTTTTGAGTTTCACCTGTAAAGCTACCTCTGAAGAGATCAATTCAGATGTTGCCTTTTGTAATTCAGGTATTTAGCTCTAGGTCAAATTCCATGTTAGTAATAGAGTCAAAATAGGGTGTCTATTTTGTTATAGTTATGTTTTATCACTGTGGTGCTAGACAGATTATTGGTTTTAGGGGGCTATCTAAGTAGAATGTTTGTGTAAAGGTTACATTATAATCAGAAGAAAGAACTTATCCTAGACCAAAGAAAGTATTAATCACAAAGTCATTATTGATGGTTATTGGTATTGATCATTCAGTAAATGTACGTTTAATCTATTATTTGTTTTTAATCAATTTCAGTTGTATTCTGCTATTGAATTATTTCAATTTGTGTTCTCTCAGAACACTTGTTCTCAAATTCAAAATGAAATTATTTTCCATTTCATCCACATTCCTAGA